TCCAACAAACAAACAAAACAAAACAAAAACAAACAAACAAACAAATAAAGAACTGTGCTATTTTCTATCCCAGGCTGTGTTCATATTGAGGAACCGATGTGCTTCTCTTTAACTCAACTAAATAAATAAACAAACAAACAAACAAATAAAGAACTGTGCTATTTTCTATCCCAGGCTGTGTTCATATTGAGGAACCGATGTGCTTCTCTTTAACTTAACTAAATAAATAAACAAACAAACAAACAACAAACAACCAAACACAAATCAATTTCAACAAACAACCAAACAAACACACACACAGTCAAACAAACAAACAAACAAATTATAATTAACTGTACTGCTCTCCTCCCACCCCCCCACCCCCAGATCCAAGAGTTGGCCAACACCCTGTCATCTGAGACAGACTATGTGGACTGGCGACGTCTGTTTGTGTCCTTGTGTTCCCCAATCCCCATTCCAACTCAGCAACAGCTTTTGGACAGCCTCCAACGTTTCAAGGAGATGGACCAGATAGGCAGTGGAACAGTTACCAGAGAGCAGTGGCAGAGGGTGATAAGCTATTTTTCTCACATTTATTGTATGGTATGGTTTTTAGTCCCTTTAATTTCCTTTACTCATATCATTTTGTCTGGGAATTTTTAATTCTGATTCTCTACATGTCCCTACTGATGGAACATCTCCCCTCAAGACCTTAAGGGCACTTTGAAATTATTTCCTTACCTTCTGCAAAACTTACTAAATGAGCTGGCGATGAGGTAATGCTCAATATATTATATAATTAAAAAGCTCTCTTCTCTTTACTAATCTTACCCATGATCTCGAACTAGTGAGTTGTGCTTCAAAAATGGGGACACAGCTGAAAATTGGTTGTTTTTCTACAAGCTCTATAGAGCAAAGTTATTCTGTGAATTTATCTAAATTGAATATCAGCTAAATTCTTTTCGGCTTCCAAATGTTGTGTACAAATTTGAAACACTAAGCTTCAGTGTGGAGGAAAATATAATATAGGCCTATAAAACAAAAAAAATCGTAAAGTTTCGTTTTGATCACACTGTTTTTAATTCTCATTCTTTTCATTAGTACCCGCAGGAGGACTTTTCATTAGCTTCTGTGTATGTAAACATGATTCAAAGTCTTTAACAGTCTGGATTCAGCTAAATAGATAACAGTGACAATTCTTGTCGGTCCTGGAAGCCCTGTTATAGCCATGGCCCACTATATGAGCCGGACCATTTTGAACTTGACATAAATTCAGCCAGGTTTCCTTTCTCAAGACTTTTTTTTTTCAGAATGTCATATCTATAAATATGAAAATTTGCCCCATGCACATTTTATTAAGTGGTTCAGTGGGTGAGATTTGAAAATGTTTTTATCTTCAATACAATAATCTAAACATGTAAGTAGTAAGTATGAAATAAGAATATAACTTTCTGACCACACTCACAAACTTTAAATACTTGATAAAATTATTTTGTCCTCTTTTCTGTCTGAATTTATTGTAAGGGTTGTATGAACCTTTTTCAATGGTTAGGATTCAGATGACTATCATCTCAATCTGAAATTATCTTGAGGGTTGCATAAACCTTTCTCAGCAGATAGGCTTGAGTACTTATCATATATTATGATATATGCTTGCCAAATGTCAGCTGTTATTGTCCACACTTTTCCAGGGTTTATTTTGAGAATGCTAACTTTTTTTTTGTCTCACAGATGTCTCTGTGGTTCTCACCTGAAGACACCTTGACTGGAGGCTTTGACCGCTTGGCTGAGCTGCAGAAAGCTTTGTTTGAAATATTTGCTGACCACACAAAACCCATCTCTGCGCTGTTCTATGAGAGCTTTGTAAGTTAAAAGGTTTCTGCCTAACCAAAAAGCTAGATTCACAGGAGTGGGAAAAGGGATAGAGTGCAATGGCTGCTAATGGGCTCATTGATGATATATTTTATTTGTAATGAAACATGAGTATGCTATGTCATGTATGGGTTTTCAGAATCCAAGCCTGCATGACTACTGTGGAAATTAAAAGTGGTCGTAATACAAGAACTAAAACAACAGTAGTCTCCATCTAAACGCACATCACACAAAGGCATACTCCATTCAAACGCACACTTTCATCATATGATGTTGTTTTTTTACAATATAATCGTACTTACGCAGTCACTTCTTCTTAACGCAGGCTTAGATCCATGAAGCACACTGACTGGTAAAGCTTGACAAAGAAAAATCTTGGCTACAACAACGTACACATACACATACTCTAGACAACTGGTAGATGAGACTAACCCTCAGGCAGGACAAAGAGAGTGATGGACAGCATTTTCCACAGGCAGTGGACACACATACATGCTACAGAACACTGGATAGGCTGATACTGATAGGATTTTATAGATTAGCCAAGTGATCACCTGCGCTCAAAAAACGTAAAACATACTCTTGTTCAATGTTGTTGTTGTTAGCGATCCAGTAGCATCTGAGCATTAACTCTTCTGCATGATGCCATTCTGTAATAGCTGCATGTCTGTTCGAATTACTCTTGTTCAATAAATCACTAGAGAAAAGTCTCTCAGAATGTCTGATGTCATCATTACATTTAGGCCTACTGAGTTGCAATAGGTGACAAGCAATCGGGATTGGTCGCTTGGAGAACTGCATGCCTGAGTGCTCTGGGCGATGTTTAATATAATGTGATATATTGTCAATGTTATGTGCCAAATTTGGATTTTATTTTGATCTGTTTTTTTAAATAGTCTTCACATGTCTTCTAATACATGTACTGTATTTCTTGTTGATTAATTCTGTTCTTAGGATTTGTTTCAGCTGAGAGAAGTTCTGTGTGCTTTATTGTTCTGTTTTAATATAATTGGAAAATTTCTTTACTATTCAATATAATAATAAGGATAATAATAATGATAATGATAATAATAATAATAATGATGATAATAATAATAATAATAATAATAATAATAATAATAATAATAATAATAATAATATAGCCCCTAATCCCTAAAAGGCCTTAAGCGCTGTGCAATGCAGAATCATCACTCAACTGGAAAATCAAAGGATAGAAAATGCACTTCATGCTGAACGAAGTGTGATATCAGCACAGGAGAGTTTTCAAAGATAGAGTTGAATCCTTAATTGACCCCAATCTCCAGCAGGACCAAGCCAGTGGGACAAGAGCTGTGAGTAGGCCTACTCAAAATTCCCACCGAGAATTTGATGAAAAATCATCGCACTGCAGTCCAACATGACATCAACGGAGCCTTTGGTGCTATGATCTCCTTCAAACCACTGTCACAACAAGAGAGATCGTGGGAAAACAAAAAATATTTTCCTTTGTGCTCTTTGCAGTTGATGTATTTTTCTGCTGCACCAAACTACCATGAAGGCTTTTTGCGGGCACTTAGTGTGACAGGTGGTCAACACATTCCTCGTTTGGGCAAGCCATCTTTGACCTCTTTAGCCACCCAGCTGGGAGAGAGAGTACCCAGTATTGTAGACAGGTAAGGTCTGGGCTATATTCTATATCATTTGGGAGGTGGATTGCTTTAACCTTCAAGTCGGGCTTCATAGTGGGAACAAAATTCCTGCATGCAGTGACAAGTAACAAAGCATAATTTGTCAGAATGTTGCATTTAATGGAAGTTAAAAATTTGCTCCTAGATCTATCTATACCAAAGAGGTTATAATAGTACTAGAGGTCGCAGCTGTGATGTCACCCATGTAAACTCACTGTGGCTGTGCGGGCCCACTCAGCTCGCTTTGTCGCCATTTTTGAGAGGATTAGAAACAGTACTGTCACGCTGCGCGTCCCTCGCAATGCCTAGGTCTTCATAGAGTTTGAAGCTCAGTTCAGTTTTATTTTAAGTTTTCATTTTGTTTGCTGTTGTTGTTTATTCATATAACATACACGCATACACAATACCGCACCTGCTGACCGATTGTGGGAAACATAAATGCACTGAAATGTGGGCTACAAATGAACACTGATATTATATTCGGTAATGTTTGTTTTTCCCCGGTTGGGTGGGGAAGGGGCGGAGGAAGACAAAGTGAGTAATTGATTTTGTTAAGAAAAGAGACAATTTCATACTTACAAAATGGATTGCTTTTATGTCTTGTTGTCTACACTCTCCTTCTACTGATGCAAAACTTAGGTCTTCATAGAGTATGAAGGGGATTAAGACTGGGTTAATTATTTAATAACTAATTCGTTATTGTCTCAAAATGAGCAATTAATTGTAAGTTGGGATGTATACTGTAAATTATTCATTGTATGGATACTGTGCGCACACCCAAAGAGCACAAATAGGTATTTACTTACAACATTTTAAAATGCAACACTTAGATAAATGAACGTTCATCTTAAACGTTCTCAATATTTTCTAGAATTGACGTTGATTGGCAATGGTGTTTGGCTACACAATACCCCATCTTCCATGAACCCCTGCTGCTCATGTTGCACTTCTGTTTGGCATTGGTTTTGTAAATGAGACAGAATATTACGCCGGTCTTATTGGTGGGTAGATTTTGCTTGGTTGGCTTCTCTCATCTCACCAGTGGTTCTTTTCTGTTCAGCCAGCCTTGAAGGTGTGCTAGAGCTGCAGATGAAGCTTCTAGCAGCTTCTCAGTCACATTCCTGATTCCAGAGGGCTGATACGAGCACCTTGTTGTGGTCAGCAGTGCCAAATCTTGACATACTGCAAACAATTTCAATAAAAGTATTTCTTTTATTATTTTTTACAAGTGATCACAAAATCCATCTCATTCATTTTTTTCTGAATTTTACTCACCCATATTTTTTCACCGTGTAAAAGACCCTATTTGAATTATTAGGAGGTTATCTGGCTCATGTAAAGACTTCGCAGAGTATCATTAATCCGAGATTGAAAAGTGTTGCTTTGCACCGACTGGCAGTTTATTCCTCTCCGAAATTGAGGTGCACCCTTTAAATTTGACACTCGTGACGTCACATCTAAGTCCTCTAGTTCTATATAACCTTTTTGATCTAAAGGCCCTACAAAGATCATGAATACATGTATGTTGAAAGTTATAGTTCTGTAGACACATATATTGGGGTATTAATAATCATATGTATATATGGCAGTGAAATGTGGCAGAACAACTTGTGTAATTTATATATACTTCTTCTTCTTCTTCGATTCTATCCTGTGGTTGGTGCAACCATGGGAGCACCACTGCATCTGAAAACGAGCTCTCGCCATCTGTTTTTGTCCTCTGCTTTCCTCAGATTGTCACCCATCTTCTTTCCTGTCCACTCTGTAATGTTGTCCTCCCATCTCCTTCTCTGCCTTCCTCTCTTTCTTTTTCCTTGTACGGTTCCTTGCAAGATGGTGTTGGCAAGTCCTGTGGATCTTGTGACATGCCCATACCATTTTAATTTTCGTCTCTTCACTGTGGTCAGTAGATCTTCTTGCTGCCCCACTACGTTGGTGATAATTTATATACACTGTACGTAAAATGGAGGTTGAACTGGTGTCATTACATTTGTTGAGAAGATATTATTTGTGAGAGCCTTACCCAAGCATCAGTAATCTTGTCTTTGATTCAAATAAATTGTTATACCATCACGATTCTACGTAAATATAGGTCACCTGTATGTCTTTTTTTTGTTCTTTCTAGTAATTGTTTTACAGCGCTCACAACTGCATAAGGTCATATGAGCGCCAGACGATTAGAGGAGTTACAAGAGAGTAACAAACATAAAAAAGAAGAAGGGGAGATAAGGTCGATAGATGTTCGATAGGAAAGAAGAAGCAAACCACACCAGAGCACCCGCCAACCACCCACCCTGTATGTCTGTACAGTATACATAATAATATATTATATATATATATGAATCTACTTTATGCAATAAATCAAGTAAAACATAAACTAGCCACAAAAAAAACGAACAGCAAAATTTTGGCAACAGCATAAGCCTGCTTTGAATCATCATCATCTAATGTCAGATCTGCAGCGGACATCAGCAGTCATGGTTCTCCATTCAGGTTAAGCTATAAAAACTGACTTCATTGTATCTTCTGGGATCTCACCGATGTCATAAATAGAATTTAGGAGCTTTGTTGTTATTTCAGTGCCCACTTCTTCAAGCGCAACAATCACTTCAACTTGAATATTACTGGCCTTGTGGCTTTTCCTTCTTTCATTTTCTTAATGGTAGCTTGTACTTTTGCTTTCAGTATTGGTGATCCATTTTATTACAAGTTTTTCTCCTCGATTATCTTTGAAAAGTTCTTCTAGATCTATGTATTTTGACCATCTGTTTAAGTTAAGACATCCCCATTGTCCATATGTCCTCCTTTTGATCTTATGCATCCTGTATTTAAGCATCCTTTTATCCCACTTACTTCTTTGTTTTTGGTACTTTTCCATCATTGTTCTTGGGAGATTACAGCAGTAGTTTCTCGTTGCCTACTGCCAGTTTGTGTACAGTTTTCTCTGCTAGCCTTTGTCATCCACTGACAACCCACAAGGCAGTGGGGGCTTTGGTAGAATTTATGATGCCTCCTGTCGCCAAGATGGTCCCTTCTTTGAGTGTATGAGGTATTTATTGAAGCACCTGTGCCATTAAGGTTCTCCTCTACTGCCCATGACCATCTCCCATCATTTGGTTTGCGACTGCTTAGCAGCTAGCCTCCATGTCTGGAGCCTTTCCCCTATCCACCACCTGGGGACGCGATGGATTGGGTATGAGGACCCAATTCAAAATTTTAGTACTTCCTTTTGAATAGGAGACCTAATTTACCATCTTAAATTAGTCTCTCTATTACACTCCTTTTGAATTCAAAGAATGGTTGTTTGAACATTTGAACATTATCAAAATGAAAGCAAGATGCTCTATATTTTGACATATGAGACTCTAGGTGCTCATTAGTTTACCCAATGTAACATTTAAAATGCAGTATAACACTGAGAGCTCATATTCGTTGGGACCGGCCTCAGTAGTTCGAGGAATCCCTAGTTCGTAGTTCGAGGGCTATCTTACAAAGATAAAGAAGAAGAAAAAACTGGACCACAGGAAAGTTCGATGGATGCATGATTTCGAGTCTTCTTTGTTCGACCTATCCGTGTTAACTCAGGGGTTGAACCTTGTGTATAACTGTATAACTCAGAGTTATGCCAAAATGTAACTGGCCTGCTTATTTGATTGGTAGTACTATACCTATTGTTTTGTAAAATGAAAATGCAATGATCTGTTTTTATGTTGTAACAGAAAAACATAAATGGCACAACTAAGTCGATGATAATATGATGATTTGAGTTGAAGCTATATTTCTTTGTGCTGCAGCATCATCCAAGAGGGAACAGATTTCAAGGATGATGAAAAAACTCATTCTGAACCTCCAATGTCAGAAGAAGTGATTCCTTCTTCGGCAGATGATGCTCTTGTTTCTGTCGAAGCACTGTTTAAGGTAATATTCTCATGAATTTCCAGTCTTGTAAATTATGTCTAATCCAAGGATAGCTTTTCTTAAATATATGAAAACATTCAAGCAGCAATATATTCAAAACAACATATTTTTATAAAATCCACAAAACTAACAATAACAAAAGCAGACTGTGATACTCTCAGCTCCGAACTATGGAAATGGCTATGAATTAAATATGTGTAGTTGATATGCATACAACTGTTTAACTTTAACTTTTTCAAATGAAATACTATGCATAGTTAAATAGTAAATAAAGAAAAATAACAGAATGTTGATAGAGACAGCTCTGTACTCCTTAATGATTCTACTTTTCCTTTAGGTGTTGCATCATGGAGAGATCACCAAGGGTGACAGTCATAGATTCAGTGTCATGGCAGATCCAGAGGACCAGACGTCCACAGTAAGTTGTTTGGTCTCAAGAGACTTGCTGAAATTTCTCTTCCTCTAAGTTTGAGGTTGGTTTGAGTATGGAGAAACACATCAAAATGATAAGGGTCATTTATCATTTAGTGCAAAGAAAGGCACGTTAGAAAAAACAAGGGAAAGAAACGCAGGCCCCACCAGTGGCATCCTCCATCCATCTGCCCTCTTTCTCTAATGGCTGATATGATATAGTTATAGAGTCAAGTACAAATAACATGGACCCTCAAATCTCAAAATCACAAATAGTTCGTACAATATGCCATTTCACAATTGAATGGCAATATTTCCAGTGTTTGGGCAACACTGTTTTCTGAAACACAAGAACAGGTTTTCAAACAGTGCATCTCGAAAAACCTAATCAAATTTTTTCCTCTCAGTTGTCTTGAATTCAAATCGCCCTGTCTGCTAAGTGGAAAATATCACACTAATCGATACTGAAAGTATCAGGTTACATGAGCCCACCAGGTTCAACCCCATGCAGCATGATACACATCATCGCACAATATCTGTAGAAGGCACTACAGTTGCCTTGACTATAGTCATGTGCTGGATGGTGGGTTGTGATCGAAGACAGACAATGTAAGTCTGCATTGGGCCATATGATGTGTGAATTGTGTTTGCGTTCATGTGTCTGTATATATGTGTATGGTTGTTTGAACGTAAAGGTGTGGATCAGGAAGTGATTACGCAGATTACACTAAAGGACTGGTTGGCATGCTCTGACCGGTGTTGTGGTTACGTTGTCATGATCATGATTCAATGTAAATGTCGTTTCATTTTTTTGTCGCAAGGCTCATCAACAACACTCTCTTCTTTTCTTTTGTGTTGACACTGAATAAGGTGCAGGCGCTATCTATCCTTCTGTCCTTTTATTTTTAGCAGGCACTTTTCACAATGACAACGAGAAGAAAACTTAATTGTCTGACGATAGAAACCAAGCATCAGATTTTAGCAGAGAAGACCTGACAAGAAGACCTGCACAATGTCGTAAATTTGTAAAAGATTTGACGTAAAGTTGTCAGAAAGCAAACACACTTTGCCAAATTTGGGAACACTGAGCTGGCTTCCAACAAACACATGTCATGTCTCTGTCTATCTTTGGTCCCATCCTGATGACAAAAGCAAATGAAATCACAAAGAAACTAGGCATTCAGCATTGGGTGTTTGGACACATTCAAAGAGACAGGGCCTTATAACTGAAACAGCTCTGTGTAGCAAATCTGCTACAGTTAATCTTTTACCGATACAATGATTTATTCGTCAACCATTTTACTGTCACTGGCTTTCTTTGATTTTTAAAAATATTTCTCTCTACTTTTTATTCAATTGGTTTACCCAAATAATGGATGTGTTGACCACATTTGTCAATCCTCGGCATGTTTGAGATATCCGTGCCCATATGTGCAGTATTACTGTGTATTACACCTAACACCTGACTGGTTGTGGTACATGTGACTTGTGTCTCGCACAGAGTACTGCTTTTTCTTTCTGTTACATTATGTGTGTGTGTGTGTGCGCGCGCGCTAGCGTATGTGTGTGTGTGACTGTGTGTGTGTTATAACTTTCTTCAGGGGGAGGGGGGTGTACATGTATTATTCTATCTTACTTGAAATACAGACAATATTAACAATTTCATGTACTTTCATTTTTAGTCAATCTATAGATGTAATAACTTAGGTGGGGTATTATTTCTGATAAAACTATTTTCTTGATGAACTTATATGGTATAAATTTAAACTACCAAACTTGGTAGCGACACAAAATGGACTGAAAACAATGTTGTCGATAAGTAATCCTGATAGTATTTGTTTCAACTTTACCAAAGCATTTTTGTTTCAGTAGTTTCTGTTTAGAGTAACTTGACAGCTAAAAATGCACGTTAATAAGACATATTTTCATTGAAAATCCAAATAATTCCTTATTAATAATTATTGAGAATAGAATAGGGTGATTTTGTAAATAACCAAAGCACAACAACATCCTGAACACACAACAAAGTGACCAGAGACACACTGGGTTATCGAATTCAGAACATCATGACCAGCCCTTCAAGTTTTCTTGGTTCACTGTGGGATACCATGCATGTCAATCTAGCCTGCATAGACATACACATATCCTTTTCAATGCAGTAAAGACATGAGATTTAGCCTCCATCTCTAAATCAAATAGGTGGAAAGCTATGAAAATTCCTCAGTCAACCTATCGTAGTCAAGAATGCAATCTCATGCTACAGGTTATCCTCATTTACAGTGTAGCATCATAACTGATCTACTTGCTGTAAAGTTACTATTTTAAAATGCTACCCATGAACACAATTGCTTTTAAAATACATTTAAGAAGGATCATTGTTATTGTGGACAAGGAATAGCTGCGCTAGTCTACCTTATTTAAGTTCTTACAATAATGTTTTGCTTACTGTAATTTCTTTGTGAATACAGGATAGACTGACTGCAGTGTTTAAAGAACTAAATGATGATGACACTACTTCACCCATCCCATACAAGATCTTGATAGACCATCCACTGATTCAAGACGTTGTTGTGGCCTGTAAACATTTCAAGGCTTTGGTAAGTTGTTGCTCAACACAGTATGCTTCTTACTCTGGTGAATGAATTCTTAATTGGAATAAATGAAGAGATACAGTCAAACCCTTCTGTTATACCACCAGTCCCAATTACAGCCTGATTTTGCCAATGCACAAAAAGCAACGCCAGCATAAAGTTTAATATATATGTTTATTAAACATACTATTTGCCCCTTTAAACTCTAAACTGCTATCAGCCAACTGCCTAAGTTGTGCAGTCCTTACAACTAATGTAAATTTGCCTTTTAACACTGCCAATGAACTGGCTACAAGAATACACTCTACACATGGTGCAGGGAGCCCACTCAGTAGGCATGCAGTGATACTCTCCCTTTCTTCCATAAACAGCTTCACAAGTTAGTGATTTTCTGATGCAAAAAGCCTGAATACCATCTCTTCAGTTTAGGACGAAGGGAAATTGCTCATTATAATATTGTCCTTCATCAAGTCATGGCCAGCTGGTGGTATTCAACAGAGGACAGCATAAAAACACTGTTATATCGCCAGACCTGCTTTAGCACCTTCTTTCCAAGGTTGGTGGTTAAAAGGGGTTTGACTTGACAGTACGTGTATTTTCACTGTGAATAGGACAAGAAAGGTAAAACTTCCATTAGACATTTTTACCAAAATTTAATGGAAAGGTGAAATAAATTTTGTGGTGAGTGGTAAGTACTCCAGGATGAGCAGCTCTGTAAAGAAGCACTAGCTAAACTGAAACAGATCTTGACTGGCAATATATTGAGATTTCAGAATTATTGGATACTCCTTTGGGTTTATATTTGTATCCACAACCTTCAAGTTTCACTTTAAATACACAAATCAAAATGGGGAATTCACCTCAATCTGTGTACAAGTGATAATTCCATATTATAGGCCACACCTTCACAGAAAAAGTAAGAAGAAAACAAAACATTTCAACCAGTACTTTGTCTCAGTAAGTAAACAGAGCAAGCAGACTAACTGAGACCAACAGATCTCTCATAAAAATAAGACAAAGCACAAAGAAAAAGCCCCTTCTGTAAACAACTCAGTGTAAGAAATTAAATTGAATGATGGATGAAATATGCTCTGAAGTCCTTTGCAACCTTGGCTCTAAAGGAACAGAAGTTCTACGTCACCAAATAAATACAACGTGTAAAACAAGCGGTATACCAAAAGCATGGAGAATTGCCCAATTAATGTCACTACTGAAAAATGAGAAACCACCTCAGGAGAAGCAGAGAGCTTCCAATCTATTTCACTAACATCATGCATCAGTAAGCTTGCTGGAAGAGTGGTAAACAACAGCTTCTACTGGTACCTGGAGAGCACCACCAGCTTGAATCCACACCAAGCAGGCTTTAGAAAAGGTAACAATGCCAAAGACCAGGTTTTCAAACTAGCTCAAGATATATCCAGGATAGCTTCCAGGAGACAAAACACACTGTCGCCATCTTTGTAGACCTCCAACTGGTGTAAGACAGAGTTTGGAGAAAAATCCTGCCCATGAAAATGATGGACCTCAATATACATGGCAAAATTTATAATTGGATCAAGTTGAGTTTATCCTTGCAGATCAAAACATGGAAACCAAGTTAAACAATGCCCTCAAGTTGAAAGAATTACCTGAGGAAGGCCTATACCTATATGAACTGCCCTTTGTTCCTGATCTTCTTCAATGATGTGCGTGATGTGCGTGACGAAAGTGGTAAAATCCAAAGACTCTCTATGCTGATGATCTTGCTCTCTGGCAGACACATCACAGCACAGTGGTAGGAGTAGGGAAATCAAATGAAGACCTCAAGAGGCTACACAATTACTGTCAGAAATGTAAGCTTAAAATAAATTGCGCCTAAACAGTATGCCCCATCTTTAGAAAGAGCCTTAGACGGCCAACTATAACATGATTGGTAATGAAATAATAGTAATAATAAATAGCATTTTTGCTGCGCGTTTCCATTTTCTAAAAAAAGCTCAATGCGCATTTCGTCGAAAAAGACATCACATCTTAAAAATCAATCTACATGTGTGTACGTAAAACACAGTATTATGATATATATAATTATAAAAATTTCTATGAGAAGAACAGTCTCGCCATGAGCTTTTCAATATGTTCACTAAAAAATATAGAATGCAATAAAAATTCTGGGTCACAATAAGATTGAAACTTGAACAACTAGAAATATATTTATTAAAACATTCATTCTCTATAAATAGAAAAACATTCCGTTCTCTCTCTTTGTCTCTGTCTCTCTTTCTCTCTCACACACATATACACACACACACACACACACACAAACACACACACACACCACACCACACACACACACACACTATTTTTTCAGTTTCACAGTCTGGCATAAACATATATATATATATATATATATATATATATATATATATATATATATATATATATATATATAACACATTTCATCATTATGATAGGTATGTATTTATTTGTGAATAAGAAATGCTTCAGCAGCTTTTTGAAAATGTAAATTGTTGGGGCACCTCTTATTTTATATGGGAGTTCGTTCCATACCTGGGGACCGAAGTCAAAGAGGAGCACTCACGGTATGGTTTGTAATTTTGTTTTAGAGTTTTAAGAATTAGGTTTCAGAGGCTGATCTAAGGGCTCTGGGTGGATGATATAAGGGTGATATAATTCCAGGAATTTTTTAAGATAAAGAAGGCTCAGTATCGTTTATACATTTAAAACGGAAAACAACAGTTTTGTATTTGATCCTTTCTTTTACTAGCAGCCAATGTAGTTCTTTCTGAATTAGTGTAACATGCGCTGATTGATTTTGTTTGATTATCAATATTGCTGATTGATTTTGGAGTACTTGTAACTTTGATAGTTTTTCGGTCGTCAAACCGGATAAAATTGCATTACAGTAATCTTATTTTGATAAAATCAATGTTGTTACCTCCTCAAAGAAGAACAGCCAACCTATCTCTAGGAGTCGAATTTGGCGCTCATATGACCTTATGCAGTTGCGAGCGCCGTAAAACCTCTACTAAAACAAACAAGTCTAACCATGGAAAGGCAAGTGGACTGGGGAGCATAAAAAACAAGGCGAAAAGGACACTTCAACTTGTAAAGAAACTTGCAAGCAGTTCATGGGGATCAGACAAACAAACTCTGAGAGCTCTCTACATTGGTTACATCTGATCTTCTATGGAATACAGTACCAATAGTCTCTCACTATGTGCAGTACAACCACTTGCTACACCCTAAACAAAGTAAAAAATAATGCCTTTCAGTTCATAAAGGGTGACATGAGATCCACGCATCCTGCTTCATGCGAAATCCTTTCAAATGTGGAACCTCTGATAATCCATAGAGATAAAGCAGTTTTTGAGCTCCTTGAAGATTGTGTCCCAACCACCCAAACAGGAAATTAGTAGAAGCATGGACACCAAATACATGACTTAAACAAAAAGCAATCATGTATCACATCCATGAATTCATGATATAAATCTAGTCACTATCTGCTACAAAACAGAAAAGAAACCAAAAAAGTCAACCAACACATCCCTCCCCACCTTTCTTTGTAACAAAAAAACAAAAAAAACAACAACCCCAGAAGCATTACAACTCTTCAGAGACAAAAGCTTGAAATCTTCAGACCCTGAGACGCTGACGTTTGCATCACATCAAATAATCTGTAGGCCTATCGATAACAATAGCAACAACAACAACACGTGACAATAGTGGAGTTAAAAAGAAATCATTTTTAATTGTTGTGCGTAGTTTTGAACAACTGGTTTGGAACATTTTGGTGAAGTAAACAGATGCTTTGCACTAGTGAATTATTATTCCATTTCTGTATGAAGACTACTATATATATATATTTATATAGCTTAAACATGTACATTTAATACCCACTCTTTGTGTAATACTATAGACATTTTTTTAAACTTTCATTTTGCAGGACATAAAGTCATTGTTGGCTGGATCGTCAGCTGATATCGCAGAGGTCACAAGTCTAAAGACCATGGACTGAGATGAAGAGACAGCAGCACTATACAGCAGCAAATAAAAACAATTTCGATATTCTCAAAAATGCCCCAAGAATAAACATAATATTATATTAAAACCTACTGAACAACCAGTCTGTCCAATAGTGCAATACGGTGGAGTTTGCTTAATCTAAAATCTGGGAGACCACCGGGTTTTCTTTAGTTTAGCCCAGCTTACTGATGTAGCTCGTAATAGCTTATGATTGTCAAAAGCATGAAGTTGGGAATGCTATGCCTGCAGCATATTTATTTTGAAAGTTTTTATTTCATACCTCTAGTAGCTGCAATCTGAGATGAAGGCTTTGTGCATTGTGCTTTCTCTTCGACATTGTCAGCTGAAAAGTCACACAGAATAGCTGAAATAGTAGATCAGCACACTGTACTGTGCTCTACACAAGGCTACAGAGAAGTAGGCTAAGAAAGCCAAATGCCAGGACCGGTAATGTCAGGGGCGGCTGTGGTTTGTAGAACTGACCGGCTGGCTTAGCACATCGATACCCTTTCCCACCTTTGCATTACTTGATGGATGCTAGTGAAGATTCTACAACATAGCCCCTTGAAATCTATTTTAGTTTAGAAATAGCATTTTGACTTGTCAGTACTTACAGAAAGGAGAAAAAGAAGTGGACTCTATACCTTCTTTTTGTTCACTGTCTTTGGAATACCCATGTTTGGTTTAAAGCAGACTCCACTGTATATTCTCTCATGTTTCTATGCTCTCACAGATCTTTCAGGCATACCAAAATTTTCATTTTTTAAAATTGGTCCATCTTTGTATAATTCCCTGCTAGAAGATCTTTTACTTGGGTGTAATATAGTGGAACTCGGATTCATCGAAGTCGCCGGGCCTGACCTTCAATTTCGTTGAATCTGAGTGTTCATAAGGACAAATATGTTTTTTTTGGTGTAAATAATTACAGACACTGAGCAAGTAATGTATAATGTATTCGACTTTGTCAATCAAAAGTAGTTTGGTTTCAAATGAGAGTCATTTCGTTTTTTTGATACACAAAAATTGCATTAAAATTCCAGGGAAATACACTGAACTCTATCAAGCGCACCCTGTGCAAAAGGGCCGATATGTTCAAACCTGTGTCATCTATCATCTATGACATATTGTTTTCCGATCAAGTTATGTTTCTGTGAAGAGCCTAGCATATGGCAAAGTTTGATTCCACAGTCCAGCCCGCAATTCATTACCTAGAGCTATGTCAAGATTAGCGTATCATTGTAATCTTGATAAGTAGCCAGGGAACAAAATAACTGTGGCGCGTTTGTATCTAGTGACGTTCCATGCCCGGGCTGTTTGTACCAAATCTCCCGAGACACACACACACAGTCACATGCCAAATGTGTGCCCATCCGACCCCAATGTATGCTAAGACATGGGTGCGTGATAACAAAGTGTGTGTTGGTATAAAAGGAGGCTGCTGGTTGGTCGCATAGAGCAATTCATCCTGCAAGTGACTACGTTGAATCCGAGCTTGCTCATTTATGTGTTTGTTGAATCCGAGTTATTTTTATTGATTTTTATGAATACAAAAATCGGGGAATACAACTCCTTTTGTCGAATCCGAGTTCGTTGAAACTGAGTTCCACTGTAATAAATTAAAGAAGAATATGAACCTGCCTTGTATATTATGCTACTTGATAGCATGATATGAAATTTCATAATTTGAGTCAAAGCTGTGAAGTACAGTGTAAAGAATTTATTTCAACTTATCTTGTGATATTATCCAAATTTCGACCTGCAGGCTGTTTGAAAAATACTGAGAGGATGAATGTATACATACAACTTTCATCCTAGTTTATGATATTGTGATTATATCAATGACAGTAAAATGTTCAATTTTGAATAAATCTTTATGAAAAAAATGGTGAATCCTGTTCTGTGTACAGATTATATTTTTAACTTCACATCATTGTGATTGCTTGTTTGTTTTGTTCTTGTGTGTGTGTGTGTGTGTGGGGGGGGGGGGGGGGGGGGGGGGTAGAAAAAGCGAAAAATACGGATTCAGATTTGTAAATAAAATTTTAGTTTTATACAAAAATACCTAAAGTTTGTGTTTGAAACTAAACCAAAAGGTGCCCTTTTACTACTGACAAATGACATACATGTATTTTAAACCTGAATAATCAGTTATGACACAGTTACAAAACGCAATAAGAACAATTGAAAGCTGAGACTGACACAGTTTCTGAAGTCAATTAAGCATTTTTCTAAATAAGCCCAATATGCTAAATGATTGGCTGTCTGTAGTGTGTACTTGTAATATTTTCTTCTAGTTTTTCATCTTACTTTTTCTCACCTGTTCTTTCCTGTCATACACTATGTCTGTGATTAGTACAGTGGGCAGGTGGCAGGTGCTACTACTGGTAGGTTTTACTTTTTCTTTTGATTTTGACATTCTGTTTTATTTGTGTGTTGTCATGCTGTTTCCTGGCACTAAATGACCATTCTTGTGTTGATGTGCTCTAGGTTCTCTAGGTTAATAAATGAGAGAATTGATGACGACTTGCGTCATAAGTGACACTTGCTTTTTCAGATGACCATAGCTCTAGTTAATTTGTTTCTTTAGCATTTTGAATGAACTTTGATTACAAATAGACTATCAATGTTTTCCTTTTCAACTAAGTAGGAGGAGATGAGCAATTATAATGGATGTACACCAAATGTGTCAACAATGATATTGTCCCTCAATAATGGCCACCGATGTTAAGTCGGCCGAAAAGAAGAGTGTAGAGGTGAATGGAGGCTACAAGAGCACTCTCTCTCTCTCCTCCACCCCTCCCCCCCCCTGTCTCTCTCTGTCGTCTTGGGAGGAAGATTATCAAGTTGCCAACCGGTGCGTGTTGTGCGTCATGATGTGCAGTGTGTACCTCTGGCAGTCAGTTCGCTGTGGGTATGGCGGGGCAAATGTACATTTTAACCGCACAACTCAGATAGGCACTTACACACATTACATGCACTCACACACACATTTACATGTACTCTCTCTCACCACATACACACAAACACTAACACATACACACTCACAACTTCTATCCTTTGTCCACTTTTCATTCAGAATCACAACTCTGTAATATTTTGAAAATACTCCCCCCCCTCACTTAATAGTAAATAAAAGATCAGCTAGTGTAGAATCTCGATCTTGCAGATCCATGGTTAGATATATAAATCTACTTAAAAAACAAACAAGCATCTGCATGTTGTATGTTAGGACTAGTCTATCATAACCATGCCATTCGAATCTGTCATCTCAAAATACAAAGACAAAGGCTTTCAATGACCAGTAATACAATGAATAAAGTCAACCTTGATCACTTAAAGTCAACACTTTCTTTTTCACTATTTTCAGTCCCAAGGTGTTGACTTTTAAAAAAATCAGAATTCCAGTGTAATTTGTTTTATTTGTAATTAAGGGGCTTTTGACATTGACATGGGTCTACATTTTTTTCTGTTTTAGTAAGAAAGAGTGTGTATGCAATATTTTGTTTGAATGATTTAGTTGGGTTTTTTTTAGAGAATGCATAGTAACTGGATTATGTGCATTATGAGTGTATACATGTTTTTCATGAATATTATGTAAGCACAAAGAACAATGATTGTCACACAGATTTGCGCGATATATACATTTCATATTATTATTACAGTGGAAACCTGATATAACAGGGATGGTGGGAGTAGAGAAAAAGTCCTGTTATATCCGATCCCTGTTAAATCAGAAATGCAAGGAAAGTAAGCATTTGTGGACTAATCCGGCTGTACTTATTCATAGGTAGTTGCCCTTGCCACAGGTACCCACAAACAGGGGTTTTGGCACTCACTTTCTCCTTGCCTCCTTAAACTTAAACTAAGTTAAACCACATCAGAAGAGCTTGGTCCACAGCATCTGCATCAGGTAGTCTCATCTTCTTTCGATCCAGATCTTCTCTCTATCCTTGATACATGTACTGGTGTGAATCGACCCTTGTGGAATGTCGAACTGATGACGACAAATCTCTGCCAGTGGAGCTTGCTTTTTTTACTTTTTGTCTACAGCCAGGATTATTTCACATTTTTTGTCAAATGAAAGGCATTTTCTCTCGCACTTGACATTGTTGGTGACACATAACGCGTGCATGTTGCTAGGTTTCGGGCCAGAGCGAGGTCTGCAGCACACCACAGCCCTCTCTCGCCTCACACGCTGCGTGTGCTCGCAGTGGCATGGCTTGCGCGGGCTTGCTCCATCACTGCGTTACTCTCTCTCTCTCTTACTTTTTACACATTGTTAACGACGAGCCTTTGTCCCTGATATAAGTTCGGTTGGGCTCCGATGAGGCCCTGTTATTGCCGATAACTTTTAATAGAGACAAAGGGTAGGAAAAAACGGGGATTTTTAACATCCCTGTTATTACAGGATCCCTGTTATTACCGGGCCTGTTATAAATGGTTTCCACTGTATTATTATTATAAGCGAACAATGTAATATTACAGGATTGGGGGTGGGGGAGGCAATAAATTTAAGATTGTATTAAGAAAATAAGAAAAGTGTAAGAAGGTGGGGGGGGAGAGCGGGGGGACAAAAAGGCCCCGAAAAGGTGTAAGATAATTAGATATTTGTATTTGAACAGCCCCTAGGGGGTTTTAGCTTACTTATACTTATATGCCATATGTGGCCAAAATAAGATCACCCTATTTTTGAGAGAGAGAGAGAAAGAGAGAGGAGAGGGGGGGGGGGGGGGGGGAGAGGAGGAGAAGCAAAAGAATAGAAAGATATAATTCACATAGGTTTGAGGGAAGACAAATTGACAGGGAAAATTGTAAGGAATCCAATTAATACAGAATAAAACTATGGAAGCGCCACAGACAGTCTCTCCGCCGGTGACACACTTCCTGAACGGTGTGTCTTGAAAAGTGACATAGTGTAGCTGCTCCAACAAGATGAATGTTGTCAAAGCTTTCGATGCTCATTCTGTAGTAGCCGAAAATTTTTTGAAGGGGAACTTCGGACTTCGGAGGTCACCCCAGGATGCACCCAATACTGTCTTCTTTCTCTATTTTCTATGAAGCAAAAGAGCACATACACATGCAACCTTGATTTCATCAGTCTTGAAGATGCAATCTAGACCTAGTGCGGGGTGAATGGTGAAAAAAAAACCCCACAAAAAAACCCAACAAAACCCTGAATTTGGTAATCGGGGATTGAATTTCGCTCCCTACATGACTACATGGTTTTAGCTAATTGTGGGTCGCTGATCACGGAAAAAAAAATTTTTGGGGGGGGGGGAGGGGACAATATTGAGAAAATTTTTGGAATGCATTTAATTTATAACTCCGCCTTGTTAAACATCAAAGAAGCCGCCTTATAAGTTATGTGCCGGATCAGTCCTGTCCTGGTGAGGTACTGGTACTGTTTTGAAACGTAAAAATAACTATGGGACAGGACAATCCAGTAGTTTGAGACAGGAATGTCGAGGTGCGGAAGGGGCCAAAGCACCACGAGAGTGTCTAGTGAATGTGACACACTGCGGGAAAGGTTGGCAGTAGGTTGGGGTTGCTGAAATCTTTTTAAAAAGGGAATAAGGATCGTCATCGAATAAAACTTTTTGTAAAATTGAATAGAAATCAAAACGATTCCGCCAAATTTTTGTCATGATGGGCAGCCCTGACAGCGTAAAAATCTCTCACGCTACCAAAGTGGAGTCAACTGTATCTAAGTCTAATACTAATAGCAACTAAATCTTTGTATAAGGTTGAAAACATTTTATTCATAAAATTGCGTACAAAAACAACATAAATTAATATGGAATCATGAAAGTTGATAAATGTACATGAGCTAAATAATGTGGACATATCCAGCAATACTTAAAAATTTTGAAAAAATATTCCTCCCTCAATCATCATGAAAGCTGGGAAACCACCCATGGCATGAAGGTTCCCATCCTGATTTATACACTTGGTCCAGTCATGGAAATATTATACTGAAGCTCTAAAAATAAATAGAAAGATTTACAGGTCCTTCAAGGCAGTGATGCAAACAATCAAGTTGCAAAAGCAGAAAGTAAAACCCCAATTAAATAACAAAGACATTCAGCTCTGCGAGCAGAAAAAGTGCAACTCTAGGTTCAAAGTCTAATGTTTCGTAAGTCCACTGTCATGAGTCAATCGCTATAACAATAAAGAACATTTTTAAAACAAAAATGAATGATTTAAAAGGTACAGTGTCAAGCACACACAATGGAAAAATTGGTTTATGTACCGTACCCCATTCCTTTTTTTTTCAGTAATAAGGAATCCAGACCCGAGTATTCCTGGTGACAGGGGTTGAAAGATAATTAACATCCCCAAAAGTGAAAATCTATGACAAGTCATTAACAGCACGTATTCTCTTCAGGGAAACCATAAGTTTAATACAATGCTCCAACTTGTGAGGAAATCAGATACAACACAGTATGTACAGCCAAACCTTGCTTTAGTTATACTGCCATCCTTGGGACGGGCATAGTTTATGAAGTAGCCGTACTGGTGGTTTAATGGGGTTCTTCCGCGATAGCCCATAGTCACGGATAATCCGTTTTGAAAGTGTCTTTTCATTAGTGATATACATGTACATGTCCATTAGAACTCTACATTTGTGTGTGTCTGGGTGTGAAAATTCAAACCTAGCTGAACTTAACAAAATTCAAATAAAAAATTTCTGCCAAATTAGAAGCTACAATACAGTAGTTTGATCAAACGTATGGTGCTCGGGAGGACTTATAAGCATGGTTTACATGGAGCTTGCTCATTTGTTTGACCCTATCCGTGAGGCGTGTTTTACTATCGTATCCATACAACTTTCCAAAGAGGAAATTTACTCATTAATCCGATCCATATGCTTTGCATAGCAGTTTGTCAAAATGATTTTTTGAGAAATATTGAAAGTTTCCAAGAGATCGTACTAGAAGTATTCTAAAATGTGAAGAATACAACCCGGGGGGTACAAAATGACCACAGGCGTACGGATACGGTTAAGTAAACAAAAACACATCAGCAAAATAATGGTCATTTAGTGCTGGGAAAAAGTGCAACACAGACAGACAACAGAGGGAAGGTAAAGAAGTAGGGCCTACCAGTGGCGGCCTCCAACCACCCGCACAGAATTTGTGTTTACACAATTGGCAGTCATCAAACCAGTCAGAGGCCATCTTCCACACCAACACACACACACATTGTTGCTGAGAGTAGGGGTCCGAAAAAATCAGATGGTCTGCCACCACACCTGTTTGAGGAGGATGGGGTGGCATAAGCGCTCCAAGCGTGAACCATACGCAGGGATGCAGATGTATTAGAGTCATCTTTTACCTCCTTGCTCATAAAGATTTGCCAACAGGTGAACAACTAGGACCTTTCTTCAGGAACGCACAATATACTGTCTCACCCCAGCAGTTAACTTTTCAAAGTTAGTATAGGACACACAGGTCCCATAGAAAATGGCTTTGATTGGAACAATGCCTAACCCTATTGTCATTGTTCAGGGGGTTATGGCAAGTCAGTCAAGGGAAGCAACTGCTCATGTGGGGTACCATTGGTTTCCCTTTATATCATGACACCCTCAGAACAGTCTGCCTTTACCAATTTTTAAAATTCCCACGTTAGCTCTTGTCACACCTTTCTTAATATTAAAAATACCTGAACTTGAAGGTCGAGCCTAATGGCTCCCTTAGAAGTGAGTTTCACTGTAAATTTAAATGCCTTTTATCAAACAAAAAGTAGAAGAAAAGAAACAATTTTGGTTATCTTGTCGTACCAAGGTTATTTGTTTGGGTCACAAGAGGCACATCGACACTTCATTTGGAAAAAAATACAGACAAATAACCAAGGTTTTTGTTTTGTTTTTTAATACCAACATGAAAGCATTTCAAGTTAAAATATGAGGCATCGTGGTGAAATCAGGTGCCCGTCAAAATATCGAAATCTGAGTTGTTGTTATCGATCCAGAATCGAAATCTGAGAAATGGGCACATTTTGGCCAGTTACATCCCCCCCCCCCCCCCCCCCCCGAATTTTGGGTTTTTGGTCCAACACCTTGTACATCCATTCAAAAACACTTTTATGCGTGGATTTTATGAACAAATGATTAAAGGGACAACAAAAAAAAGAAGTAAATTTGCAGTGTCCAAGGCCTCTTAAGCTTTGGAAGTCACCAAACTTTGGTGGCCATTTTCTCGCTAATTTTACTCCTGAAACCAGGCGACCCCACCTCCTTCAATCGCAAATATCTCGACTTGTGGATATTCTTTTCCTGCAAAGCAAGGCAAATGAATCACCTTTACGACAATACAAACCACTCCATATGCCCCAAAAAAGACGAGCGCTTGATTACACTGCGCTGGGACACAAATATCTGAACTCTATAATATAAGAAAAATTAACACTACCCAACCAAAATGCAGTGGTCTCTGGCCAATAGCAAATACCTTGGGTGACAAGAAAAGCATGCTCTCATGTCAGTGTGCGAATAAACCAATTTTAAATGGGTGTTATCTAGAGTAAGTCTTATCTGATCTCCTGTAATGGCGTAATGGGTTGCCCCAGAGAGCTATGACCAGGAAATAAAAGTACTTTAAGGGGATCCACTGGTCAGATCAGTAAAAATTTAGAAAAAATATCAGTTTTTCGGATTTTGGAGTATCTTAATAGATATCAATATCAAGGATTCATCTTTAGAAGCCTAATTCCTTTATCAAACTTATAAATAGCTGGAAATGCATTTAAGAGAGGTAGCAATGTAGGAAAATCTTGACCAAAAATTATCTCTTTGCAGTTTTCTCAGAATTGTTTATCTGACCAGGTAGCAACACTATATTGAGTAGATCTCAGAAAATTACTGTCAGAATTGTTTCAAATTTGCACACAATCTTTTATACACATTTCTCTATAACTTTACAGGAGCATTTTTGCTGTTTATGGTACACATTTGAGTTTTAGGCCTTTTTTATTTTACAAAATCTTAAAACATTGGAGACCTGAATGTAGTGCATAACAAGGACTGTAAAGCTCACAAGTTAGTACAGAAAATTCAAATTTGGCTCTGTAAGGTTGTTCTACCTACCAACAGCAATCGCCATGCCAAATATTAGGCTTCTATCTTGATGAGTGTTGATGATTGACAAAATATAAAATTGGTTTTAAAAATGCTGAATCAATCCTTTATTTTTGATGGCTCGAGATTATTATGGCTAAAATCTTGAAATTTTTGCTAGGTAACCTTTTTTGTACCAAGGCACGCTCGTTGATCCAGCTTGTTATTAGCCAGAGACCACAGTATTATATAAACTAAGCTTTTCTAGTCATATCTTTGTGGCAAATTTGTTTTTTAAAAATTGTCTCGTCTCCCTTAGAAAATTCCATGGACAACAGAACAATGAATGGATACAGGCATCATGACAACTGGACAAGGGAGATTAAATCCACACGACACAAACAATAATCTATGGCTGAACAAGTACAACAGAAAAGCCACAGGCATTCAGATGAGATGGGTGACAATGCAGAAAGCCATTTAATCAGTGTTCCATTTTCTCTGGTTCAGAAGACGCAGTGGTTCCAGCAGCCACTTCAGGCTCTTTATCTTTGGAGGAATTGTCTGTGACAGGGGCAGCAGCACTCTCAGACTTGGGGGCTGACGGGGAGTTCTCTGCAAAATTTGAACAATCATCAAATTAAATTACATGTCCAACAGAGAAATTTAAAACTAAAGGCTTAAAACACAATTATGGGACATTTATAGTACTGGGAAAAAGAAAAAAACCCATTCTTTTTAAGGGCAAAGGAGAAGCATCCTGCGATAAAAAAAAATTAAAAAAAATAGTAGAGGGTTTTACGGCGCTCGCAACTGCATAAGGTCATATGAGCGCCAAGGGGTGGGTGTCAACAAAGAAGTCTTTACAATTTACAGGGAATCAGACTTAGACTGCTCACCTCTCTAGCTTCAACAGCACAAGGTCTGCTTCCACGATCAAAGCACCACAAAATAGCAGGTCACAAGAGAGTGACAAATATACAAAAGAAGTAGAGGAAAATGACAATAGTAAGGATCAGGAAAGAAAAACCAGCAGTTCCCTGTTGTAGATCAGGCACAGTTATGAGCGTGACATGAGTCAGCCCATTTACAATTCTACTATGCCTGAACGAGAAATGTCCCCCCTTTGGGAATGGCCTAAAGACACTTCAGTCAGTGGCACTGCCCCGGGGGGTATCCACCAATTACCCTCCAACGTCAAACCAGGTTTTTTAAAACAACAGCAAAATAAAAGAACTGATATTCTGTTGACTGAATGACCTAAAAACCAAAGCCATACCTCATTCAAAACCATTTGTGAGAAAAAAAGCACTTACAGACATAGAAAGAATTGATGATCCAAAGAGTTGCATACTTTTGTAACATTTCATAGAAAGAAAAAACAAGGCTTTGAAAAAACCCAGAAACCAAGAAATATAGAAAGCCCTAAAAATCTGCAAGAAAAAGAACCCAGGAAGGAAGGAATACCAACAAAACGGTGGTTTCTCATCAAAGACTGGTTGATTGAATCCTAAGATGGATGCTGGTCTTAATTCATTGTTGACCCAAACAGGAAACGACATTTCCTGACTGTGGCATAAGCACTCACAGCATCAACAACCCACCCTCCGAATTTGAAAAATGAAAGTCATCGCCAAAACAAACCTTATCCAACCATTGACCCAATGCAGAGGAACAGGAATACATTCACGACAAAATGCCCCCACTCTCCCTAAATTCTTTGCATTCCCAGCTAGGTCTCAGGGGGTCTACAACCTGCAGTGCAACTGATTTTTAGTAATGCATTTGTGACACGTTTTACCTACTTCGTAGGGCCCCTCGTCCTCAAGCTGACACATTTTGATTTCAAAGGTATTTTGTTTGTTTTTTGTTTAGTAGAGGTTTTACGGCGCTCCCAACTGCATGAGGTAATATGAGCGCCAAGGGGTGGGAGTCAACAGAGAAGTCCTTACAGGGAATCAGACTTACTCTGCTCACCTCTCTAGCTTCAACAGCACAAAGTCTGCTTAGACTATCACGGCACCCTGGAAATAGCGGGTCACAAGAGTGGTGGAGTTTGTTGTAAATTTGATTTCTCCAATGAGTCTCCCACAGACTGGAGGTGTTTTTTTAAACTTTATTTTTAGTCAGTCTGTGGGAGAGTGTTCATCATTGATCCCAAAAGAAGGGACGCGGATTCCTTCACCAGGAGATCTACCTGCTTGTTTCCTCGGATGCCCACATGGCTAGGTTGCCATGCAAACACGATTCTTTTCCCGGTTTCAGTCAAGGCGTGTATTTTTTGTTGTAACTTAACTATTTTTGGGTTTAGGAGTGTGTAGTTTGGAAGTGAGGTGATGCAAGACAGAGTCAGAAAGGATAAGGAAAGATTTGTTCGGAAAATTTTCTACGGAGTCCAGTGCCATGTCAATGGCAGTGGCCTCTGCAGAGAAAATGGAGGCTCCTTTTGTGTGTACTGTTTGAGGATAGGGCAGCGGCGCCAACAACAGACCCTAAGAAGATTAGCTCCACACCAGGGTATTTTTCTATAAGTTTTTTTGTATTCTGCTTTAAATGTTTTGGTATTTGTGCTTGGTGTGTGTGGTCAGTTGTAAGTCTATTTTTGCCTTGGTGAGGTGCCACGGAGGGAGTTCGGTGAAAAGAAATTGTTGGATGTCTTGTTTGGAAAATTGTAAGTTTTTAAGGTCCTCAAGGACTCTGAGGCCGAAGGGTTTGATGAGTTTTTCGTTGTTTTGGAATCGTTTATGGTGTCTAGGTTTGTTCTGAAAATACAGTCGTGTGCTGGGTTCTCTGGTGTTGAGCTTTGTTTAATTGTGTACTGTAGTGAGAGTTGTGTGCGCCTGTGAGTGTGAGTGATGGTATGTTTGCCTCCGTCTGGAGGTTCTCCACTGGAGAAGTGTGGAAAGCTCCCAGGGAGAGGCGGAGTCCTTGGTTTTGTACTGGGTTGTTGTTGTGTAACATGGCCCTGGAAAATGGAGAAGCCGGTTTGGCAGTCACCCTGTGTGTACACAATAGGTATAAATCTACCCCCCCCCCCCCCCCCTCCCACCAGGGCAGTGCTACTGACTGAAACGTCTTTAGGCCATTCCCAAAGGGAGGATATTAACATGTTCTTATGCACAGTAGAATTGTAAATGGGCTGATTTATCAATGTCATGCTCATACTGTGCTGGACCTGCGTATGGGAAACTGCTGCCTTTTCTGTCCTCTTCTTTACTATCGTCATTTTCCTCTACTTCTTTTGTATGTTTGTCACACTTGTGAACTACTATTTCCGGGGTGCCTTGATAGTCGAAGCTTGATTCCTCGTTTGGACTTCTCTGTTGACATCCACCCCTTGTCGCTCATATCACCTATGCAGTTGCGAGCGCTGTAAAAACCTTACTAAAACTAAATCTAGCTGCAAGCAAGCTTGCGATCGTCTGTCTATCCTCCATTTTGTCGACTGGACTTTGTTGTGTGTTCTTTTCGTTCCATATGTTATGTAATAATAATAATATATATGTTATTGATGGCACAAATTAACTCCCTTTTTCGAGCTGGTGTGGGGCTTGATTTGCTGGGTAGTAAATTTTTTTTCCAGGTAGTTAAATTTTTTCAGGAAATATTGCTGGACACCCTGAATTATACACAAAAATATTGCAAGAAAAGTTAATGGATATCCCATTTTAGTACCCAGGGTACCTTTTCAACATTTTCGCTCACAGTGATAAAAGAGCCTTTCATACAAAAAAAATAACAGCAGATTTGGAATCTGCAGGAAAAAAATACAAAAGATAGCAAAGTTTCGTAGGTACAGTAGTCTCCGCCTAAGATCCCACCGCTTACGATCCCGGTTCGCTTAAGATCCCGTTGTTTTAGGAAAACAGAATTTTTACTATACGAAAGTCACCCCTAAGATCCCGGTCTGATGGTCTACATTCGGCTAAGATCCCGCTTTTCAGATCATAATTTGCAAAACAAAAACCCGGGCGGGCACAGCTGATCAACCAAGATTGGAAAGTTGAGATCAATAAACTGTCCGTCGCGTCAAAGATCAGCCACTATCGTGAATGTGATCACATACACGTTGTAAAACTCGATGAAGCGATGCAATGTTTGCCCCAGACGGGATCACACCGGGGTGTGAACTGACCGACACGTTTGTTTTCCCGACGCATCGCACTCACACCTGAGCTCGCCACCTAAACTTGCATCACTCGCTGGGTGGGTAGGGCCTACACGTTCGCTCCAGGCGGGATCACATCGAACCGTGAACTCTTCCTTGACCATTGCAGCAGTTGTCTCTACTCCCGTATGAATTTGCGACACAGACTGAATTTTAATTGGTGCGTTCACAACGTAACGGTGTGTAACGACAAAGGCGGTTTGGAGGGGGGGGGAAGACTCGGTCAGAGATGGAAAGCTATACATTTTTGACAGGTAAAGAGGAGGGGCAACTGGATAAGCGTAGATCTTGAGACTCATGATAGGATAATGCCACTATGCACCGTGATAGGTCATCAAGGTTAACCACTCTTTGCTCGCCATATGTCATAAACCCACCAAGGGGGCATGTCAGTTCATTGTAGAGTGGAGGGAGACCATTTTACTGATTGTGAGCCTTAACATGGGTCACCATAGATTCTTCCCTGGGTTCGTCGGTTAAGATCCCGGTTCGCCTAAGATCCCGCATTTCCTTGCTCCCAAGCACCGGGATCTTAGGCAGAGACTACTGTATATATTTTTTTTAAAAGAAAGTTGCAGGAGTTTGAATGTTGGCCGCAAGTCCTTGGCCTAAAATTTCTATGAATTTTTTTACACATTTCCCCTGAAATTGTAAAAACTACTGCAGATACATCAAATATCTTTATAGGTTCTGCAGGAAAAACTACAATATGCTGCCAAGTTTCATTCATGTATTCCGTTTACTACGGAATTTTTGATAAAAAATGCCTCAAAACACCCCAAATTAATGTGGACCGTGCTTTGGGATTTTTTCCTTATATGAGAGTCACCCCACAAAAAAATTCATTAAAAATCATAATTTTTTAATTTATGAACGAATTGTCAAAATTCAAAAACTGTGTTACTCAGCAGAGATAAGGCTATCATATGCACATTGTTTTGTTGGCTTTAAAGCAAAAAAAAATTTCATGGTTCTTGCTACATAAAGGGACAATGTGGGTTTTGCAAGCATACTCATCAAATACACACAGGCAAGAACCAGCTGAGCAAGAATTCTCATCAGTAGCACTGAATGAGTTAGTGGTACCGAAAACATCATATTATCATCTATAAATTGATCAAGATTTGGGGGAAACTAGTCCATCCTGTACAATGAGAGGACAGATTTCATCTGAGTCTTAACACACATAAAAGCCAGAGCATCAACTAGTCTGAAGCCACTTTCATTTATGGGGACTTTTCAACACTTTTAACTGATTCCGTCCATGATTTTTTCAGGCTCTGGACAGAATTATTTTTCCTTGTTCAGTTTTAGACCTGGGGTACATCTATTCAATGCATTACTGTGAAGCTCTAAGTTACTCTAATAGGTATTGCATATACCAAAGTGATGGGAATCAATAGAGGGATCTATTTATATCAATCACAATGACCTATAATCTGTTTGTATTGTATTTTCTGTCAGACAAAAACGAATGAGGGAAAAAAATTGCGCAACACCTCTTAGAAAATTTCGACTTACGCATTTTCTCAGCTCTACAAGTCCTTATAATCCATAGGAATCAACACAAAATTGTAGCGATATCACCCTAGCACACATTTATGCTAGAATTTCACAAATTTAGTTGAATATCTTTCTTTGAAGGGCCTTTTTGTTACACCAGGCTCCGTGTTATTTACCCTTAAATCTAGCCTACATCGCAACAACAAAACAATGATTTTTGCAAGAATTTCGCGGAGTTTCAATTGATATTGGCGCTCAGAGATTGAGGTCAGGTTTGTTTACAAGTTCTACTTCCTTTCGACAACTTAAAAAGTAGGAACTATGTTAAAAAGTGCACATTTGTTTCGGATTTCGTTGAGCCGCTCACAGCAGCCGAGTGGAGGCAGCGGAAAAACTCGGAGCCGCTGTCAGCGGCCGAATGGACGGAATCAGTTAATAGAACAACCACTATCCTTCAGTTCACTCTCACACACACACATTAGTTCAATATCATTCTTCTTCAGTTGATGGAATCCAAAACAGATGCACCTAGGCTAACTACCTCAAGAACACCTTGTCATCAAGAGCACTAGCATTTACTACATTCTTTTCTGTTCACTGTCAAATCCAGACATCATGTGATGTTGTTGTTAGCGATCCAGTAGCATCTGAGCGTTAACTCTTCTGCATGATGCCATTCGGTAATAGTTGCGTATGGGATTCTATCATTTGTGAATAGCATCTAAAACTGGTGGTTCTGTGATTTTCCTTCCATCCCGGGTTAGGAGATAAAGCAGTGGCTGTAGGTGCAATGCCACAAACAAAAACCCAACTCCATCACAGAGAGATTGTAAGAAAAATGAATGGGTATGTTGGTGTCTGTTGTATTATATTGAGGAGTTGTTTGAGGAGATAAAGAAGAGAAAGACGCTATTAAGAGCATAGATGCTGTGTGTTGCTGAAATACAAAAATTATAATATAATAATAATAATACTAATAGTAATAATACCAATTGGAAGCTAGATTTCCCCCCTCCTACCAGAGCGACCAAGTCCTCTCATCCGAGAGATAGGGGCAGGGGTAGGTATGGCAGATCCCAGAGGGTTAATGTTGTCAACAAGCAAGACGCAAATGGTCTCTGCACCTTCTCCGCAGTCATACGGCTCTCCGATAAGTGCATGCTTAATAAATGAATGTAGCTGGGTATTCCCTACGTAAAGTCACATCCAGTACAGTGCTGATAATGAACCTCTGCTTTCCACCCCACCAATACCCGTCCCAACTCCAGGTCAAAGAAAAGTTGTCGATGGAGAGAGGAGAAAAGAAAAGTTAATACATGTAATAAAGTAAAACAATAAAGACAATAAATCGAAAGAGTAAAAAACATAGTAAAGTAATATGTCTCTTTTCGGGGTCACCTCTTGACCCGTTAGCTTCCTCTTTTTCTTTTCCTATTCGAAGATTACTAATCCCCCCACCACGAAGAGGTGGGTCTATTGGGGGGGGGGGGGGCGCATCATGTGATAAAATTAATTTGTCCGAGATGCTTGTGAGTAAGCACAAAAACTTTGTAAAAGTCGAAACTGAGCTGCATTTTGAGAATACGCTAAAAGAAGATTGTCAAGGATTCCATAAAATAAGAAAATAAATGCATATATTTACAAAATAAAAATACTGTATATAAATGTACATAAACGTGTGTGTGTGTGTGGGGGGGGGGTTCTAAAATTTGCCAAACAGGTGAGAAAATGCAGATTTCTTGAGAGTTCATTATTTTGACAAGCACCCGCTTTCACTACGTTGAGACACATATATTGGTAAAGTGGAGAGAAGACAGACATAATGAGAATATCTTTGACCGAAGAAGAACACGTTGTTCTAACAAAGCCATATAAACAAAAATTCACCTTTCTTTTCTGTGGGTGCTGCTGCTTTGTCATCCCTAATAGAGAGAAAATGACGATAACTTCAGATTTGCTTGTCTCTCTCAGTAAAGCATGGAATGAAAACTTTCAAATATATGTTCACAAGAGCATATTCAGCATCAGTACTTCAATCTCAATAGCCTATCTTGAGTGCAGACACCACAGCTAGATATACATTTCTCTTTTCTAGTTTTTCTGCAAAAAAATATTTACAAACAAATTGAAATAATTTGATTTGGGAATGTCACCAAGTGTCTCATTTAATATTTCAGACTGAACTTCAAAATCATAATTTGCAAATTGTTATTACTGCATTCTGCACTCAGAATAGAAAAAGCTGAAAGAATATTCTTTAAATGTTTCTCTTTTTCCTCAGCATCACTTTTTCATACACTGCACAATAATATCAAATGTTAACCACTCACTTCTCTTGGGATGTCTTGGCTTCCTCCTTTACTTCGGGTGCCTCTTTCTTTACTTCTTTTTCTTCTTTCTTATCTGAGAAAAAATTGACGAACAAATATATACATTAAAACCCTGGTAACACAAGTACAACAGAACTATAAGTGTTAAGCAGATTTCGGCTTAAGGTAATTTGCGATGCATGGAAAAGAAGAGAGAGGAAAAGAACGTGGATTTGAAATTGTTCCGTGGTACATGTAACAAGTGTTTCCTAGTACTAAAGTGAGGGAAAGATAAATCTCTTACCTTCTCGACCTTGAAAATCAAGCTCCTTATAGTTTACAAAATACCCGTATAAAATCAAGAATTCTGTTGGGATCAACAGCAGAGCACAGATCTTTTAATTTTGTGCATTTAAAATACTTCCTTCAGGTCTCTCCAAAGTCTGGACATTCGGTTAAGACGTGTCTAATGGTGAAATCAGTGTCGCAACCGACACAGAACAGTATTTATGTGTCAGGGAGGTGTGTCCGATACGTAATAGAGTAAAATTAAAATGATTTTGTTTCTTCTGTGGTGGCCCAAAGGTTTTCATGGGCCCAGTTTGGGCATGATGTGAGGTGTTTTGTTTGCTCCCCCCAGTGTCTCCCACAGACTGATTTTTTTACTTGATTTTTAAAGTCAGTCTGTGGGAGAGAATTCTTTGTTGATCCTAACTGAAGGGACAGGGAATCCTTTACCAGGAGATCGACCTGCTTGTTTCCTCAGATGCCCACATAGCTTGGTAGCCATGCGAACACAATACTTTTCCTGGTTTCAGTCAAAGGGTGTATTTTTTGTTGCAACCTATTTTTGGGTGTATGGGTATGTAGTTTGCGAGTGAGGCGATGCAAGACAGTCAGATATAATAAGGAAAAGATGTTTTGGGGAAATTTTGTACAGAGTCTAATACCATGTCAATGGCTGGGGCCTCCCCAGAGAAAATCATTTTCAGATAAAACACATTCCAAGGCCAGTGTTCCTAAATTGCTTTCATCTCCTATCTTCTCTTTTTTTTTTTACCCGAAGTATTTTCTCAGGAAATGATCAAATCTTAATCTGGCAATCTTAAAATTCAATAATACAGACCTGCCACTCTAAGAAATTAAAAATCAATATCTCATGGGCAGAAAAAAAAACAACGGGATCAAGGACAAATCACCACGGTGACTGCCAACTGAATACAAATTTTCCTGGGGTGCCTATAAATTATCCATATATAACCCCGGTGTGTGTGCGTGTATGTGTTTTATTATTATTTATTAAATCCTGGAGTATCACATAAAGAACTTACAGCCCAAGTGTCTACCCCCCCCCCCCCTAAAAAGTCCCGAAAGATGCTTCATCCAGTGTGCACGAACTTCAGATGACCCCACCAACAGACAGTCCCAGGCACACGCGGAACTCACGTGATGTGAACGCACAATTGAAACAGTTTTACTGAAGGGTCTTGATGACTGGCCCGACTAACCAGAACTCGGACAAAGCTTGTTTTGAAAGTAACAGCAGAACTACGAATAATCATTTGTATGTCGCAATTGAAAATGCTAAACTGCTGCTACATCCCAAGCCCCTATTCCGCTCAAAACTATGGATTTTAAGTTGTAGGCATTTTTTTAGCTTCTTCAGCCTCTCTTACAACTATTTCATCGCATAAGAACCCCATAAAGCCTATTTCTTCCCATACCGGGCATGTTCGTCACCACCATTTTCTCATAAAGTCATACTTTTATTTTTCTTTATCACACGTTTTCTCGAAACGTGATTTTTCTGTATACTTTTTTAACCCTATCCGTACACCTTAGGGTCCTTTTATACCCCCGGGATTGTATTCTTCACATTTTACAATACTTCTAGTACGAAGATCTCTTTGCAACTTTCAGTATTTCTCAAAGAATCATTTTGACAGACCGCTATGCAAAGTGTACGGATCGGATTGACGAGTAATTTCCTCTTTGGAAAGTGGTGACACAGAGTGCCAAACGTCGTATGGATACGATAGTAAAACACGTCGTACGGATAGGGTTAAATAAATCCACCATTTTCATTTTTCATCCAATTAGACCTGCATGTGAGCCTCAACCAGATTGTCTGAAAATTTTGCACCCCCCCCCCCAAAAGCCTTTGTGGGTGTCATAAGGAAGGACATCCAAGTAACGAGCGACCACCCCAACAAACATAATAAAGAAGAGACCTAACCCTAACCCTACCTCCAAAAAGAATCTGCAACGGGCCTCATGTAAAAAGGCCAAAACAAGTTCTAAATGAAACAAACATTAAAATTAAAAAACCACACTCCAAAACAAACAAGGAGCATATAGATCTAGATCTAGATCTATATGGCTTACATCTACATTGCTATAATAGGGTTTGATACAATAACTCAATAGAATTGGAATATTTATATGAATCCTCCATATAGATCTAGATCTAGATCTAGTAATCTAAATTTAGATCTAGATCTAGATCTTGTAAAACAAGTGAATAGGAATAGGCCTTGAACTAGAAATCCGCATCCAATTCCGAACAGAGGGACTCAGCTGAGTCTAGATTCTAGATCTAAAAAATAAATAATTCACGCACCTGATGAAATGCTTATTTTTACCATATTAATATTACAGCTCAACCTATGATAGGGTTTGACACAATAGAATTGGAATATGAATCCTCCATTGAGGTCTATAATGATCTACATAAATCTAGATCTAGATTCTATTAGAACAAGAGAGTCGGACTTGAATGTTCATCCACACGATCTGAACAATTGAATTAGTCAACAAACGAAATTCAAAATGGCCGCTCGAGCACAAAACTTAAAGTAGATAATTTAGGTTGTCGTCCTTTTTCGTATTCGCATTTCTACTTTTAGGTTCCGACAATTATGTCGGAAACGCCGAAGCCGGCAGTCGGCGGTGCGCGCGTTGGCGGTCGGCACGAAAACGAAAGTGCCGACGAAGCCGACGGGAGAAAAAGGGGTCGCTGGCAGTCGGCCAGGTCTCGCACTACGCACACTGACTGATACAGGTGGGCCTTGCGATAGCATCGGCCGGTTCGCGGGTCGGGTCGAGATTGTCGGATTTCAGACGATTGTCGGCAAACATGCAGGTCTACTCCAATCTTCATGAAATTTTCACAGAATGAAGAAAAGATATATATTTTTTTAATATAGGGAATAGTTTTTTGTTGGTGGTGTTTGGAGTGTGGATTAAATCGGGATAAGTGGCATGCCTGAATAATACCAAATAAAGAACATTATTACTTCTCGCAATATATTATCACTATTGGGCGGGCGATTTTGCATGAAAAGGTCTGTTTCACTTACAGGCAGCACCAGTGTCATGAACAATAAAATGTATATTGGTGAGACATATATCTCTATCACAATTAAAAATCTACAAGAAGGACATTCAGTCTTCCCTGATCTCTAAAAAAGATGAAAGACTCACCTAAGCAAAAAACTGAAGCAAAAATGCTACATGATAGCTGGTATAGACTGTGAAGCGCACAGAGCTTGCTGTTGAGCAGGGGTTTGCGCTATACAAATGCTATCTACTATTATTATTATAGCTAAAAATTACAGCAGGTGTTGTTGAGAACAAGAAAGTTAAAAAACATATGAACAGTACAGGCTTTTGTAGAAATAAGAAAGAATCTTTAAAAGTTTCAACAATTACCTTTCTCCCCATCTTTTTTGTCATCTGCCTCTGTTTTCTGTCGCTTTTTCTTGTGGTCCCTCTTGTCTTTTCGGCCACCCCCATCTTCGTCTTCACTGTCAGAGAACTCTTCTTCACATGCAATTCTCTTATCACTCTGTCGAACTGGCAAGAGATAATAAGTCATATAGGTCAATAAAGGTCACATAACCTACACAAAAACCAACAGAACATAATAAAAACCCTTCTTGAATTACAGGTGAGAATGCAGAAAAAGTGAAAAAATGGATGCGCGAAAACAAAATGTTCAACGATGAAAAAACCCCCCAAGAAAACAATCAAATTTAGAAATTTAAAAAGACGTAAAGATACACCCAGAAAGAAATCAAAGATACAACACAGCTGTTACAGACCGCCAACTAAGTGACACCGCCTGTGCAAGGCATAAACGGAGGCAATTAAGAAAAACTAATGTAACAATATATTGGAAAATCACCAAAACTGAACTATCAATATAATGTGGGCACATACAAGCCATCATGAAACTGTAATGGGTACTATACTATTATAGACATACAGTTGCCAAAAAAACGTAAAACAATTATGCAAAGCATTAAAGGGGTCTGATGTTTTTAGCAAAAATTAAACTAGATCTCCACCAAACGATTTTGAAATGGGCTGATTCATCAATGTCATGCTCATAACTGTGCCTGAACTACAACAAGGAACTGCTGCTTTTTCTTTCTTAATCCTTACTATTGTCATTTGCCTTTATTTCTTTTGTCTGCTATTTCCGGGGTGCCTTGATAGTCGAAGCAGACTTTGTGCTGTTGAAGCAAGAGGGGTGAGCAGGGATAACCTGATTCCCTGTAAGGACTTCTCTGTTGACATCCACCCCTATGACCTCATGCATTTGCGAGCACCGTAAAACCTCTATTAAAACTAAACTTAAAAAAACGTTTTTGACAAATTAACGTAAAGTAGAACTTCGATTCTACGAAGGGAGTTGGACTACCCATTTCATTTATTCATAAAAAATTAATCAAATGAACTCGGATTCAACAGATGAATAAAAGAGTAAGCTTGGATTTAACTAAGTGACCTGCAGGGTAAACATGGCTTCGCTCATTTTTCTCTCGCAACGGACTATCTATTCTAGGCCACGAGAGCCCCCTGAATATTAGTTTTAAAGCTTCAAAGTAATGAGACACTGAAAAAGTGATACAAGATTCTGCCCTTAAAATCACATGAAGATGCCATGTTTCATTCCTAACATACTTCTCCAATTTTTTTCAACAATATTCCCCCAAAACACACCTAGAAACGCCCACCTTTTGGTAGTATTTTTCTAAATAGAAGTCCCTTAAAATTTGGGAACAAAAACCCGCTGTGCTTAGAATTGTTTTAAAACATAAAAATTGGCTGTTTCTCTCATTGGTTGAAAAACTTTGTCCACGAGTTTTCCCGAATTACACTTAGAAAAGAGCTACCTCTAATCCCGACCGGCCCAATAATTATGCGGAGCCCCATTTCTGGCCCAAAGCCCAGCTGGCGATTGGAATTGCTACATAAATCATAATTTGAAAACACAAATGTTTTCATACTCACTCGAAATTCTTTGATCAGGGTTGACCTTGTCGTCCTCATCACTTTCATCATGCAATGCATCTTCAGGGATGGCTTTAAAAAGCAGAAGAAAAAAAAAACATGAACAAAGTGTGAAAATACAAGATAGCCAAGGAATTTAGAAAACAGATAAACAAATAAACTGGAAGCAAATGTCAAAAATATTCCATTCAATTTTAGTGTCCAGAAAATTCGGAACAAAAATAAATGATTGAGTACAAATCAAATTTTACTCTATTTATTTCAGACCAGGAAAAAAAAATGAAAATGAAAATAACTTTTTATTCATACCTTGCATTTGAACGCCAGGAGCATGCGGAAGCATTCGCAAATTATCAAACAGGCGGGTTCTGTGAATGGAAATATGACCATGTACTTAAAAAATCAAAGCCACCATGAGCGCCGTGAATTGGGTGGGTTGCCAGCAAAAATAAATAACAGAACTTGCATTTTACCAGGCTGCCCATCTACCAGTACATATCACTTTCAGTAATCAACCAATAAAATAGTCATTTGGCTAATAAATTGGTAATATGGCCTTGGATAGTATATCTTGGGGTGTCAAGTACAGGGGTTGTAGTCAAGTATAAATGTAACGTAAACAAATTCTTGATGAAAAAGAAGACTTGGCGAGCTCTTTGGAGGGTGGGTGGGGGTGGGAGGTGTTACTGCTTGTAAAAATGAAAGAAACCATTGGAAATACATAATACACCACAAGCCTGCAATCCTGAATGTGCATTTCAACACACTATGCCACACACACACCATTTCAAACAATAATCCATTAATAAACAACAATTTTTTTTAAAAACCCTCTCGATGGCCAAGGCTGTCACTCACAACACAAAAGGGATGACATTTTCTAGCACCTTGTGAACCTAACATTTGCCTTACTCCTGCCTATGCCACTTCTTAACACTTTGCCACCTCATCTCGCCGATTGGCGATGTTTACCACTCAGTTTCTTTGGATTTTCCCCAAAATATGATGGAAAAGTGTTTAGTCTAATGTTTTTCTAAGAGCAACATGGAACTGAGCAACCACAAGGGCTCAATGCAAAGAGGGTGTCAAACTTAAGAGTGTTGTAGGCTGTCCAATTATATACATGTATGTAGTATTCACATCACCACCTGGAATGAAAAGCAATTTTCCCATTCAAAGACTGACGAAGCTCTGTAAGATTATATCTTTGAAAAATGTGTATCGCTATGCACACATACATGACATATATGAGTCTTTCCTAAAAGTTCGTCTTTCGGAAGTACTGTTCTCTTTGTAGATGTATTCAGGGAGAAAGAGAATGGAAATCAAATTATATTTGGTGTCAATACATCCAGTGAATACCATTGATAAACTGGGAGAACATTTAGATAGATGGGGAAAGTAGTTTTTTTTTTTTTTGTAATGAAGAAAATATTTCTATTTTTAGCAGTATTTTATGCAACTAAAAGGGGACACTTTTTATAGAGTGTTTTGTTTCTCATTGTAAGAAAAAAATGAAGAACAAGTAGATAAAAAGTGTTGATTTGTGATGGAAAACGGAAAGTCAAGGTTAATTTGTCCATTTATATAAACTGTAAGCTGAGTAGGATGCGACTGAATTTTGACTCCCCAGTCTTAACTTTTGACCTTGTCATGAAAATACTCTTACACGTTCAACCATCTTTTTCACGCATAAAAGGATTGGAATAAGAATTTCCATTGCTTTGGCTAAGCTCTGGTATTGGCAAAGGCATTCCAGCAGGTAGAAGTCGTATTTTCATGCAAAAAAGCAAGGGAAATGATACCTTATAATGGCCCGCATTGTTTGTCATGAGAAAGTTATTTCAGTAAGATGCACCGATTTTCGGAAGCACAGTGACGATTTGCGGTCACTTTTGGGTTGCACCGGAAGTTTATACACCATCCTATGGATTGATGCAGTATCACAGGCATGTGACTTCAACTTATCCCGCAGTATGTCTTGTCGTGAATGATTTACAAGAGGTTATTTCCATAAGATATTTTGCGGTTCACATTTTATGTAATTTACATGCTTTAATCATGATTTGTCTAACTTTTGTGATTGTTGGATGACAAAAATAGCCATGCACTTATTTTTTTTCTTTGCCAAAAATGTGACTTGCTGGCCTAATGACTTTGAATTGGGAGAGACATTTTGGTTTTTCACGACATGGTCTTTATGAGTTGTACACCTTCTCCGGTGTTCTTGTTTTAAGTGTTAGATCCCACACTTGGTAAAGTAGTGAGAGATCATGTCTTGCTGCATTCATCGTAAGATCCAGATTTACAGAAAATTTACCTTTATTTTCCATTTGTTTATAAAACCCAGGTGTTAAATATCTAGACTGAGAAATAGTTCTTCACAGTAATTTTCATGTTAATTACCGTAGGCCTACATAAGATCTACATAAATAAAAATTGTGGAATTCATGCTTATTTAAAAGAAAATTTTGATTCAGTTTTATCTATGTTGCCTTCTTTGATCATGCAGAACTTTCTGTTGTGATCAGAGAAGTCCATTAAAAATGCAAGTGGAGGATACAAACAGTACTAGACTTACTGCAGGAAGAGAAAGTGCACAGATAATCAATAAAGGGAGAACGATGTGACTTGTCCCATTGATACTATTTAGTTTGGTGTTGATAAAATAGTACGTTGGTTGTTTTTTTTTTGTCGTGAGTTATGTCCATAAGATCATATTTAAGACTTCTTTTTATGTTGTTTTTTTTGGGGGGGTGGGGAGAAATAGCCCTCTTTTTTTTTTACCCATATACCCCATTTGAGGTGTTTTCCTTAATATAGGTGATATAAGTTGAGCTCATGAGAAATCAGAGCTGGAAAAATGTTATAATATTATTCTGTCTTATGGGTATAACTCTCACGACATAAGAATCTACTTAGCGAATGTAGTAATCTTGAAAAAGGAATTATGAGTTCAAATACCACGTTTGTACCTGAAAGGCGCACTGAATTTGGCTGAATTTAAAGACAACTGCCATTATTCTCATGTGAGATGTGACACTTATGTTGTGAGAGTTATGTCCATAAGATTGACAAACATTAAAGAATTGTGTTTGAAATTTTGTTAATGGAGGTGTCAGTTTCCCGGACAGTATTGTTTTCTGAAAATACATAATAAAAGCTTGTGAAACTCCATTATTTTGACGCTGTTGCCTCATTATGAATTTGTATGCCTCGTGTCCCCCTTTCTGTACCGAGGTTTTAGGAAAGGCTCATATATGTGAAGTTTCGAGACAAAATGCTCAGCCACCTCAAAATGAAAGATACAACAACAAAAAAAGTGAAATGGGAAGGGAAACCACAACAACAACAACAAAAAACCTCTTGCACTTATACTTGCAGAAGTTCATTTTATTTTTCCATTATCCTCATCTTTAGAAAGAAGTATGAGAATTTTTCTAGTTTCTGCTCGAATTGAAATCTACTAAAATTAACAAATTTTTTGTTTCAAGGACAAAATGAATTTAAAATCACCAAAACTCAAAAACATACTTGATTTTGTCCATGTATTCTGGAGTGTTCTGGTTCGCCATATTTGACGGGCTTATGTGAAGCTTGAAGTCTGGTCCATAATATTCAAAATAATCATTGTATGGCAGTTCTGAGGAGCAGAAAAAAAAACAACAAAAACATGTAATCTGGATAGAAGTCATTTTTTCTCTCAATGAGCCCTGAACTTCTGACGGTTTATTTCAAATCTAACTCAACCATAGTCAAATATAATGATCAATTTCTACTTTCTAATAAATGACGCAAGCTGCAAAAAATTGAGTTCCATAAAAAGCTCTTTATACAGTGCCAAATAAACCGTTTGTGTCTGATGTGAAGCGAGTTGCGAACGAATCTTCACAAGTGGATGGTCTGTTACCTGTCCGTTCGTTTGCAAGTAGTAACAGCAAACTGTTTATTACTCGAGGATGCTGATTTAGCCAGCCTGACCCAATTCTACCCTGAGCTGATTTCTGCCCAGCATGTTCAAAATTAGACCAAAGTAGTCTTTTAATCAAAGATGAAACTTATGAAGTTTTATAACACTTAGCAAGCCCGTTCCCCCTGTTGGTAGCAGTTCAAGCAATGTTGTGCAATTCAACAAATTTTCAGGCAAACATTAGTTTCCACCTAAACGCACGATGCTCGGGAAGGCCTCTAAGATTGTGTTTATGCGGAGTGTGCGTTTACATGAACCTGTGCAAAGGACAGAAGGGACGCAATTATCTCATTTCCTTGATATTGTAGTGACCGCCCTTGGGGGTGATGGGTCCTTTTGGCCGATTATGTGAGGACAGTGACTGTTTTTTGAAGAATTCTCCGACTGCGGTTATGAATTGTGAATACAAAGGTGTTGAGTGGACTTGGAGGGGGAACGGATTCACCGTACTGATATGCACTATAAAATGTCCTGACCAGATACAAGGAAACTGTCCGTAATAGATCTAGTCATAGGGACAAGCTCTCAGCCACATGGTTTTCCAATTTCAAGCGACCCATGTCGACTGCCTGTCATCTATTACAGCTCCGTAAATACATGGATGACATCAGACCTTTCTCTTGTGATTAGTTGAAAAAGTATGTTACAAGTTCTTCAAGCGCAGTTGATTACTTTACTACTCTATGGTAATTAAATAAAAGTGGGGTAGGAATAAAGGTGTCTAATAACGCGTCTATTTGGTTTTCAAATATTCGCGGGGCAGTTCAGATTTTCTCACTCCCGGGTCTGGCAGGTTTTTAAAACATTAACCTATCGCCAACAGAATTACCATAAATATCCGCAACAAGACGATACGATGTTGAGTACGGATCCTTTACCCTGGAATTTCGGTAGCCCTGCGCTATCGCACTTTTTTAAGGATGGAGTTGATAATGATGGGTGGGGGGGACAAGTACAGAACTGTCAGAATTCCGTAAAAATACGGAAGATAGGAAGCACTGATATGCGAGAAAAGCCTAGATCTAGATTCTAGATATTAAGTTTCACATGATCGTCAACCATGGCAATCTGGAAAATAATAAACGGGGGGGGGGGTGTTGCAAAAGCCCCTGAAAATTGATAAATGTGTGCGCGGGGGAAGGGGGGCTTATTCGATACCTTAGAGTAATCTTTAAGAAGGTCTATATAAAGTTTTACAGCATTCATGCTTTTGCGCATCTCAGATCTAATTAAACATTACGTACACTGTCACCCTTACACATATCAAAATCTTCTCTCAAAGATGTATTTCGAGTGACCAATCAGAATACATTGATACGATAGTAAAACACGACGTACGGATACGGTTACGCTTGTTTCGAAGAAATTTGGATAAAAAATTTAATTTTTCATTGTCACTGCTATATAATTATGTTCATATCTGCAGTTACAACGAAGAATTTCTACGATATGCTCTGACAATGGTCTGGGTGATCTTCAAATGTCTTCCCAGCATAAATGGCTTTATCATAAAATGTTCCTAAATAAAAATTGGTTCAATACGTGCCATATATAAGAAAAATATATTCAGCTCATTTTGACTTCCAACTGCAAAAATGTTGACAGAATAAACAAATAAAAGAGAACTATCTCACCATTTGCAACATCACAATTCAGAGCTATGGAAGTCTCGTAGGTCCAACAGCGAGCAACATTGCGAATAGTATAGCCACCTCCACCCAACAGCAGCACCGGAAGGTTCCATTTCTTGATGAATTCAACACACTTCCCATGGCCTGTAGACAATCAAATACATTCTAAGCAAATAGTCAGCCAGATGTTAAAATGTCACAAGCCCTAAAAGCAAAATTTTAAAGGAGAGAGAAAGAAAACTTCCAATCTTTTAAAATCTAAATGTACACTTCAAATCTGATACAAAAAGAAGGTAAAAGTATTATCTATTGGTTGACATGAATCATCTAGTGAAAAGATGATTAATAATGAGATGATTGGCTGGATCTATTTTGCGATCCCTTTTTTATGCTTGTAAAATGAACTAAGCCATCATGCACTGTGATTCATTATTACATTAAAAGCGTTGTTTGCTGGTAGACAAATCAGTATACCAATTATGTTTACAAATCAATACTGTAAGGTGGGATAAACGGCCAGGTCTCAGCCGGAATTACTGATTTCAACTCCTGTAAATGCTGGTACCTTGTACTTGTATTAAAATAATATAGTATAAAGCGCATAAGGCTTGCTGTCGAGCGGGGACATGAGCTATTTATTATTAATTATTACTATTAAGTGCAGTTCAAAGACAGTAGTGCTCGATGGTATGTGGCTACGATGTCTTGTCCGTCATCACAGTTACCGCTCCTTGGGAGGGCTTCCTGGATGAGAACCCTGGACCTGCTACTGAGGAAATTGCCTGCATGGCCCGCCGCAAACAGCTATGGACCAAGGAAGCTTACAAAGTATTAATGTCTGAAATTGTACTTTTGTACTTCAAACGTCATGAATTTTGACCATTGGTTACTGCTAAGACAAATTTTCAGAGAAATTAATTTACCTTTCAGAGTAAGGTTAAAACAACCGAGCCTATCTCCTGAAAGGGAATCAGCACCACACTGCAACACAATGGCACTTGGCTGGTACATCTCCATCACTCTTGTAATGACCTGGAAATTCCATATTAAATCAATATTAAAAGACAAAATATATATAAGCTGTATTTGCATACAGTAACCACCAATAAAAACTTTCAAGATAACAGGAGTGAGAAGAAAATGATGCTAGACCATGTTTGAAAGTTGACTGTCACAACCTCGGAACACCACTTCGAATTATTTATTATTCTTGATTTTAGTCGTTTTAGCACACATTTCATTTATCTTAGCCCATATCACATTTCCGAAGAATCATCGCACTGACGATTTCTCTAGATTTGCACAAAAAGATTCTTTCTGATAGTGATTTTCTGTCTAGAATCGCAAGTCAGTTTACTTGATGAACTCGCAGACTTTCCAGCAGCAGCAACAAAAAGTGAATGAAAGGACGGAAGAAAATGACACAAGTTTTCGACCATGGCTAGCCAGATTTTGATCAATCTGCAGGTAAAAAATCTATTGCCGACCAACCAGCAATGAATGCGTAGGGGCCTAGCAGGAAATGCACAATCTGGCAGCTTTCTACAACATTAACTGATTGCTGAGAGAATCACCATAAATATCCAGACCATATACAAGACGATACGAACGTCAGTACGGATCCTTTGCTACAGAACGTGAGTACGGATCCTTCGCTACAGAATTTCTGTAGCCCCATGCTGTCGCACTTTTTAAAGGATGGACTTGATAATGATGGGGGACCAAGTACGGAACTGTCAGAAAGTATGGATTTCCCCCAAAAAATACGAAAGATTGGAAGCACTGAAATCTGTAGGACGGTTATCGAAATAATAACATTTTGATGTATAATACGTCCTAATACCTAATTTGGGCACAAAAATCAGGGCAAAAATGGGCCAAATCAAGGTGAATCGCAAAAATGTTTGTAACTTTTGAAAGACTCAATATTTACACAATTCAAAAAGCACCATTATCTGGAGGGCAGGACCTTTTTTTAAAGCCTATTTTTGAAAATATCCAAGCAATTTGAAATTTCCCCTGAACTGACTATACCAAATTCTACAAGGGAAAACCTGATGTACCCATGTAACTTACCATTTTCTATAACTATGGGTGTTGTTTTCCATCATGTGCACAGGGCAATTTGAATAAGAGGAAAGACTTGATCTAGTTAGTTAAGACCAGCTGTTCAACATATAAATATAGGTGTTTGAGAAAAGTGTTGATAATACAAAGTAAATATAGCAATTTAGTTCCGGAATGGTTTCTACAAGTAATCTGTGTTTTTGAGATTTGCATGTTCATGTCACCTGTGCCCAACCGTATGTGTAGATGTTTGTGGAAGAGAGTATGTGGAAGGAAGGATGTGTGAGAGTATGTGTGTATGGGAGTGCACATGCGTGCATGTGTGGGCGTGTGTGTGGTGAAATACCAAAAACAAATATGGCAACACCCGAACAACAAAGATTTATCTTACCTTAAAAAAAAGAAATTTCACAATGAATACATACCGGCTTGAAAATACTTTCATACGACTCATCATCAATTCCATCACGGAGAGGAAAGTTGACAGCATAATATTTCCCTTTTCCAGCTCCAATATCCTGAAAGCAGTTACCAGGGGTGTTCATAATAAAAAGTCATTGCTTTAATGCAACTGCTTTAACACAAATTATTAGAATGTTGTCAACATTTGAAATGAAATATGACATTCCCAAACATGTAGAAATACATCGATGTGATTCTCAAAAATTCATATATAGCCAGCATCAGGTCTTTTACTTTCATCTGATGTTTTAACATCAGTTCGAGAGCCACAACCTATTACTGTAAGCTTAGTTTTGTTTGCAATCTTCAATGAAAACTCACTCGTTGCCAGACACTATTTGGCTCACCATTCGAAGAATGCCGGCAGTTTTGACATCTATTTTAAAAAATCATCGTGGGCTTATTCACCACATATCAATGAAACTTGATATTCAAAAAGGCATGAAACATTAATAAAATATATTTTGAAGTTTTTAACTTTAATTACTCAAAATTTTGAAAAAAAAATTAAATGTAACTTTTGATATTTATTTGGTACGGGGGGGGGGGGGGGGGGGGGGGGGGGAGGTAAAGTCCGCTCGCACTGCATAAGGTCATATTATAAGCGCGCAGGACAAACTTTTTCAGTTGGTAGAAAATTTTGAATATTGCCCGGGTGGCGATTATAAACCACAAAGGGGATCTTTAACGTGCACAACTTGCACACGGGCCCTCCGAGATTTTTCGCCCTTGTCCTTGAAGGCTAGGTGTAGATCTTTCCTACCAGAAGATCAGGGGTGTGGCTGAAAGACAGCAGTAAGGAGCCTAGGAGTAGCAGTAGAAAGGCTGCAGAAAGTCAGGAGCCCAGAGGAGGGCGCAAGGAGGTGAGGGCAGAAAGAGGAGACGAAAAGCAGATGACAGAACATTGCTAGAGAGCAAGCAGGAAAGGAGGTGAAATTCCCCGGATCTGGCAGTGAGTGAGTTAACCCCCCCCCCCCCCCCATAAAATATAACAGAATATAGAAAAAGAATGAAGCAAAAATGTAACACATACTCATACTTTCAATACTTGTGTCATCACAACGGAGACAGAAAATAACACTTACTCTGAGGTCGCCTGTACCAGGAAAGTATTCTCCATACTTGTGGAAAGACACTGTCATGACTCTATCAGTAGTGTAGAAAGCTTCCTCCACACCATCACCATGATGAATGTCAATGTCTACATAGAGCACCCTTTGATGGTACCTAGAAATATTTTTTAATTTAAAAAAGTTAGTTTTAGTTTTAGTAGAGGTTTTACGCCGCTTGCAACTGCATAAGGTCATATGAGCGCCAGGAGATTAGGTGTTACAAGAGAGTAACAAACATAAAAAAGAAGAAAGGGAGATAAGGACCATACATGTTTGACAGGAAAGAAGAGGCAAACCACACCAGAGGACCCGCCAGCCACCCACTAATAAAAAAAGGAGACTGGGATGTTGGCAGGGTTAGCCATCAGCTCAACTTAAAAGCAAAACATTCCTAATTCGCTGCATTTTGCACAATCATGAAGCCTATCAAAATATAAAATGTTGTGACTAAAAAATTCTCAATTGAAACAAAATGCCCTCCACCACCACCACCAATAAATGCTGAGAAATGTTGCCATCAAAACCAGTGCTTTTAACAGGAAATTTTTTTTTTAAAAGGAAGGAAAAGTCTTTGCCAGGGGTCTGGTGGCTGCATAGGCCCCCAGCAAGGTCCAGGAACAGCGCCCCAGTGGGGGTTCAGGAGGCGAAGAAATTGAAATTGTGTTCTTTTTTTAAGGTTGAAAATGGCAATTGATGCCAACAACCAAAAATGTCTCCATTTTTTCACAAAGATTGTGTCTTGTTTGAAATTTCCTTCAATATGATATCTTTCCCTTGCTGGCAATGCAACGATGGGCAAATCTGTTTGATTTATTTAACATTTTCCATCCACCCAGTGTGCAAAACCTTTGTCCACCTGTACCAGGATACAAAGTCTAAAAGGAGATCATTCCTCCTATATTTTGTTGATATATTACACTGTCGCAATATTGTACCATTGTAAAGGTAATTGAATTTCCTTTACTGTGACATGCAAATCTTTATTCTTAAAATCTCATTTGCATACTGTGACTTCAATGTGTTACCATTAACAAAAATAAGTGTGGGGGTCTTTTTAGTAAGAGTTTTACTGCACTTGCAACACAATAAGGTCACATAAAAGTGTTGAAGATTAGAGGCCTTAAAAGAGAGTAACAAACACTAAAAAGAAGAAAAATTAGGATGATAGATATATTTGATAGGAAAGAAGGAGCAAACAACACCAGAGCACCCGCCAACCACCCACAAAATACATGTGACTTCTGTCACTTTCCAGCAAACCTAAAAAAGAGGGAAAAAAGGGAGACATCTTTGTATTTTCATTTCTAGAAAGCCAAAGCACACCCATCTCTGCATCAAATGCCCCCAAAACTATGTGATTTTATCAAGAAATAAAGGATTCGTTGGCTTAAATTAAATGTATAAAATAAAGTCAAGAAATTGGCATTTTTTTCGGCAAACTTGGGAATATTTGTTTTTGGGCTTTCATCCCCTTAAAGAACACATTTCTGTGTGGATTTTACAGAAGAACATAGGGTGACTGCTAAACCGGCTTCTCAATTTTCCAGGGGACAGGCTTTTTAAAAACTTCTACTCTCTGCGCCCATCGCAAATCCGGTAGTTTTGACACCTTTATCGGTATGGCGGTGGAACAGGCCAAAAATCAGTAACTACCGGAAAAATCTGTATTTAGGCAGCTCTTGTTTCAAAGTAAACAGGAAAGAAAACTTAATTTCATGGGGCTAAGGAAGCTAGCTTCAGCTAAATCATAACCATAGGCGTGGATATACACATTATTAAAACTTTAACTCACTTCAGTAGCTCCAGGATTCCGAGAACAATATCATTGACATAGCAGAAGCCAGATGCCTCAGATTTTTTTGCGTGATGGAGTCCTCCAGCCCAGTTGATTGCTATATCAGCAGCTTGCTTGTTCAGCTTTACTGCTCCAGCTGGATTAAAAAATAATTCACAGTGTTATTTGTGTCACAACACTAAGGAATCAGGCACTCATCAATTTTTGAACATGTGGAGTTATTGGTATCATCTTAACCTTTCAAACCTTCTGTACCAAAATAATATAGGTATGAACTTAACAACTCAACAAAAACTCTGGGGTACCAAAATTTGGAAAAAAGAGAGACACAGTTGTGCGACAGCTGTAATAAATGTTAAATTCTACAGAGTGTATCAAATGAGGAAAACAGCGTGCAAGTGTAAAACAAAATGAAAAGTGTCAGGCGAGGAAGACAAGATTTTTTAAAAATGTGTCGCCACCTCTCACAGGAACATAAATGGGCACTAAAAAAATATATCTGAAAATGTTACATAATAATGCCAATGCCAGAGGTGGGAGCCTTTTTACAGGGCGGTGGGAGTGTCCAGGAGGGATACTTCCCATTTCATTTCTTCTTTTCTTCCTAAAAAAATTCATAACTAACCTCTTTCTCTTGTACACTTTTGCTCTTCTGAGATCTTTCAATCATGACAAATGCACAGGCACAGCCCGTCACAGCAAGGTAAACTATCATGTATCGACATTGGCTTGCCACCACTATAATATTACCTCTGAAAGCTAACTCATCTTTGTTCATTTTCCTTGTTTGGGTAGATTAGGTGTTGTCGATCTCTTTTGGTTTTGATTGTTTTAGAAAGTGGTGCTTCAAAGAGATTCAGATCTGTGATCTTCTGTGCGTCGTTGCTCCAGAACGGCTTTTTACCTGTGGGGGTTTGTTTGCTTGGCTCACCGGACCCACCGGCTTTCGCAAGCCAAGACTTTTATTTTTTTATAATGTTGCGTGCTGAGGAAGAGTCTATGGTATGTTGAGATTCCATAAGAATCTGAATTTTGTTGTTGATTCGACTTTGCCGGTGTTGGTTAGGAAGTTCGTATTTTTGACTAGATGTTTAAAACGATAAACTTCTTTCCCATCCCACACAGCAAATCATTACGCAGATGTACAAAAAGCTCAATGTCTTGAGATTTATTCAGCGTTAGAATGGTGAATTTCTGTGGATTAGTTTTTGTTCTAGACAAGTGTTTGTAGAGTACACAATTTGTCCTATTTTAGTTACAAACTTATGAATAAATGATTGTTAATTTTAAAAACGCACGACAGATCTCTCCAAAATCTGTGTTAAACTGACTACGAATATCGTGTCTTTTACCATGAGAAATCTTAAATCTGCACGAGTAGTAATAGTCAAGTTATAAGAGAAGAAAGAGGCACATCGGCATTTTTTAACTAAAGACGATCAGCGCTAGCTCTTACTTTACTATTAAACAAGAGAAAGTTACTCTGCGTTTGTTCATGAATCATGCTGTGTTTGTGGCAGCCTGCATGCAACTAAAAAGATATAATATAAAAAAGCGATTAAAAACCCCCCAACAAAACTGTGTAAATACATGGGTAGAGATAAATTTCTGTATGGAATAAAAATAATGACAGCTAACACATTCATTCTTAGTTTTTGTGTTGGAAATATGCGCGGACACAATTATGAATGTAATGAAATAGTCACATTGTCAGTTATTGCAAATGGTCATAGAAACGAAAAATAAAGCTGGAAAAGTCTGGTGCTGATTCAGTGTCCCTGGAAAGCTAGAAATTATTCTTATAACCCAATTACGAGAAGTCATCCCTATTGTTCACTCAACTTACAAAACCTAGACTTAGCGTTTTAAGAAAAGTAAGGAATTTCTGGAGTGTAACAGATACTATTCGTGTATTACATTGAAGATGTATTCTGGCACTAAAATCGATTTGTGCCTTTCATAGAGAAACTTCACGGTAACTTTTATAAACTTTCGAGAAAATATGCCAATATTCACGATTATATTAAGACACATAAAGTTGTATTTGGAGGAATTACTTTACGGCTTTCTATTATATGCGCAGCTACCACCTCTTCTGAGTATCTGCACCAATGTTATGTCGTTCATGTTCCAAAAGTTCGACAGATTTTGTCGATGCCTTCTTTTTATATTGATTATTTTTATTCACGCTAGTAAAAAAAACCCTACAATTTAGCATTGTCGACTCCAGCGCGTCTAACGAAATAACCAGACAAGTTACAACGTCCGTTCTTTTGTGAGTCTCAAGAGCAGAAATGCATGCTTTGGGTGCACTAAATGAGAATTACTATAAATACAAGGATACACCTAAAAAAATTGTACGTTGAAAAGTACAAAAAATTAAGTCGGCCCAGACAGAGCGGCGACGGGGAGCTGACCCCCGTGACCCCGGCGTGATTTATAGGCGCCCGGCGGGGAACCCCCCCGCTGCAACTAAAATTCCACTGCCAGTGCGCCATGAATATTACATGTGCATGGAATAACGAAAATAACATACAACAAAGTCCAGTCTGCAAAATGCAGGATAGACAGACGATCGCCTTAAATGACACCATAACGAAAATAAGGGTAAGACAAGACGTTTCAGCACACGCACGATGTAGTCCACTAAACCAAGCAATCCGGTGATTGTCACGAGGGAAGTATTGTTCATTCCACCCAAGACCACCCAAACCCATGGCAATTTTGTGGCCACTGTTCTTCAGTGACAAATGATTATGTCCAAAATCTAACTAAAACAGTCCATGTGCAAACAAAGATTTCTTGCTCTACATGAATCAAATAGTTCCAAAACAAAAACAGAATCATACTAATGAGGACAGTTATTGTTAAGTCCAGGTTTTGCATGGTATTTTTAACTGCTGTTTTCCAGTCTGAAAATATATGAAGATGCTGTTCATTGCAGAGACAATAATATTCTTCTTTTATTTGATATTCAATGCACGCTCATTCCCCCTAACTTGATGCACCTCATAAAGTGTGAAAACACACTTTTGCATTTCTTTGATTTGGCACAATTTTGCCAAGCTCGATTTTTTAAGGTAAATTTTGAGTAATCATATCTTGGGTGTCTCTTGACATTAATGTGTCAGATGATGCAGAATTTATTTAGCTTTAAATTTGTATGCTGCATGAGTGGGTAATGCCAGACTTTTAACACGATGATTGCGTGATTACATTTTCAGGTTTCTTTTGGACACCACTGTATATGGGAACTTTTGTGGCGGAAAACAACCACATAGAAGGTCAAGGCAGACAGCAACTCAAAGAGGAGAAGGTGGCCTTTATATTGATGCCAAATATTGCATCAAAGCATTCATTTATCAGCATAAGAAAGTCCCATTTTAGCAGTACTTTCAAAACAAACTGCAAATTATGTGATTGCCTGACTGCTTGCATTAGCATTTTTAAGGACTGGAGTCAATTCGAGGCTTTAGAATGCAATTCCCACTGATGAGTAAATGGATATTGAAACAAAAATATAGCAAAAACAGAAAAACATAAAACTGAAGGAGATATTTGATTTTTAAAGATCATCTTGGAGTGAAAATTTTCAAAAATCTGTACAAGAGCGGGGTTGGTAGATCTGGCCGCCCCTCTAAACTCTTGTCTTCCTATTTGTTGACTCGTGTGGGTGTTTCCTAATAAATCCCCAGATGTGAAAATATTTCGTTTCATTTCATTTTCGTTGAGTTTTAAGCTTCATTCGGTTGTCTGTTCAGCGCCTTGGTTGACATTTGGACTATTTTTAACAGGAGACAAGGTGAGGTCAATTGTAAGCATTCAGGGACTTACCAGGACTGTTTATTTTTAGTTTAAAATGGTTTAAAGAGTGCTCCTGTTTGACACAAACTGTACGGCCCGGTGGCCGGATCAGCCGAATCGACCTCCCATCACTATGTCGGAAAAAAGTTTCGTAAAAGTAAACCCAATGCAATGTTTTAATGAACTATAAGTTAGACTGGAAGTGTCACATCACATAAACAACAAGAAGTGGGAGGAAGTTGCAAAATTAAGCGTGAGAGAGGTTTTAAAGCTAAGGGGGCCTAGGTGACCCAACCCCGCTCTACTTTGCCCACCAAATATCTTTGTCACCAGTACTGCTTTTTATCTTCTTTTTATCAGAATACAAGACAGTGAAACCTGACTTGACATCCACACTCATATAGTTGAGTGGTTACACACTTCCTAAACTAAAACTGTCCACACACAAATCACTCTTACCAACAGAGCCTCCAGTGCTTAGCTGGCAAAATTCATACATCCCATCAAAGACAGGACAGTCTTCACCAACATTAACTGTGGAGGATAAAATGTTAATAACAGTGAGAAAAGTAAAACACATTTAAGACTACCAATACCCTCAACACATAAAATGTAATACAATATCCCAACTTCAGTTTCTTCTCATATTTTTTCTTGTCAAATTTTCACCACTAGGGCTATTATCAAGGAATTTTATCCATAAATCAAAAGAATCTATACAGTATTAATATTATTTATGAGTCCACGAAAACTACGCAATGAAAAGACAGTCTCAGAGATCTTATTTCCTTTTACAGTGTATGAAAAACTCACTTCACAAGAAAGTTGGAAATAAGGCAATTCAATTCGCATTGAAAGAACAGCAAGAAACGACAAAACACAACAAAAAGAAAAAGCTATATTTAAATTAGGTTGTCCAAACAGACTAGATATATGGGTTAATGTCACCACTGCTATATATCTGCATAGACTGATATGTCCAATACATCAAAACTAAAATCTACCTTTCTTCTTTCACTAAATAGCTTTAAGTACTTGAAACAGCAAGTTTGTGGTGTGCGGGGTTTCTCGTGGCCTAGAGGTTAAGGTATTGGTCTCTCATTCAAAGGTCCCCGGTTCGAATCCGGGTAGCGACCGAAAAATGTTCTCTCAAATTCTCTCCTTTCACCTCCTTTCCTGCTCTCTAGCAATGTTCTGTCATCTGCTTTCGTCTCCTCTTTCAGCCCCCACCCCCTCATCTCCTTTGCAAGTTGCGCACGTCAAAGACCCTTGGTGGTCTAAAATCGATAAGAGTAGGCTTTGGCCGCCGTCTGAGCAAAATTCAAAATTTCCCACCAACTGAAAAAGTTTAACGTGTCCCGCGCGCAAATGACCGTATGCAGTTGCGAGTGCCAACACTTACAAAAACAAAAAGAAAGTTTGTGTGTGCTGTTCAGTCTGCTTTTCTGAGGTGCTACCCATTCCCAAATGGGGGGATATTAACCATGTTCTTATGCACAGTAGAATTGTAAATGGGCTGATTTATCAATGCCATGCCCATACTGTGCCCAAAAAACACAGGGGGAACTGCTGCTTTTTCTTTCCTCATCCTTACTATCGCCATTTTTCCTCTACCTTTTTTGTATGTTTGTCACTCTCTTGTGAACTGTTATTTCTGGGGTGCCTTGACAGTCAAAGCAGACTTTGTGCTGTTGAGTCTAGAGAGGTGAGCAGAGTAAATCTGATTCCCCGTTTGGACTTCTCTGTGGACATCCACCCCTTGGCGCGCATATGACCGTATGCAGTTGCAAGCGGCGTAAAACCTTACTAAAAACTTTTTTTAAAAACCTGCCATACATCAGCGCCTTACCCTTCATGGAAACGGGGCATTTTAACATATGGCATAAAAAAAGTCAAATGAGCTTCAAGTTGATTATGTTATTTGTATCATGGGTAAAGTACATGTGTTCAATTAATATACCTGAAACCCAAATTAGAAGAAGTGCATATACCTGAAAACTATGCTTGTTGAGAATGAGAAGCATCGCCATATAAGCACACACAATATTATAAAATATATTCCTTTATCTTAATATACTACATGACTATATGTACTTTCATCAACGCATTCCTTTGAACCTTTCAGCATCAATCCATTAAAGTCAGACTGAGGGTCAGCAAAACAGCAACATGTTACTAAGGGACTAAAAAGGCTCAGTACACAGAGGATTTTACTGAAAAATGATCAAAGGCACACAAAAAATACTTAAGATTTTCAGTTTCCAATGATTCTTGAGCTTTGGAAGTCTAACTTTTGGCACAATTTTCACGCTAACTTCACCTCTGACACCACGAAACCCCCACCTTCTTGAATTGCAAAATATCACAACTTCTATTAAAGATGGACGGGTATTTTTAAAAATCAAAAGCACGACAAATCAACAAGCTTTAAGACTACATCAATAACTCGATTTGCCCAAAAATTGATGAGCGCCGGAGTCCATCCCGTCGTGACACATTTAATGATGCAACAATTTCAGAACTTTGAGAAAGTAGGGATTTCTGTAAAAATAAGGAAAATAGAAAGCACAGATAATGTAAAGAGTGGACTCGTCTACTTACACCTCTGCATCTGTTTGTTGTACTCTGCCATATTGTCAGGCCTGATGCTGCGCAAGAATTTTATGTAATCATCGCTGTGAAACTTGGTCATTTCTTCCGCAGTTGCTTTATGTGGGCGCTGTCAAAGCAATAGGGTGGAAAAAGAAAATTAAAAATTATAGGCAGCAATGACAATAACTACCCCGGTTCTTGCATGGCCCATACTACAATTTAGTTCCTATCTTGTCAAAACTGCTACCGAAGAAAAGAACACCAGACACAGGCATACATCTGATTGTAAATGGACATTCAAAGAAAAGATTTCTCAATTACATACATCACTGTCCAATTAGAAAGCAGGGCAAAAATACTGAAAAGTGCAAAAACATGCTTTGAGACAGGGGAAAATACAAGAAAAAGCAGATTTTCATAATTCATATCAATATCAAGGCAGAGTTGTCTTTTTTCTTAAACTTCAAAAAAAAAAAAAAAATGACTCCAAGGCCATTGAAATATTGCAAAAGCAAAGTTGGCACTGAACACATATTCAAAACAAAACAAAACAAAAAATTGCCTACATAGATCTCCATCTTGCGATACAGGCCATAGTTCAAGATGAGATTATGAGTCATCCTGATGCGATGAGGCTTCATGGGATGGCCCTGTCCATAGTAATAGTTTCCAATGTCCCCTGTGAATGAATTTTAAAAAGCAGATACAGTCAAGAGTCAATAATACGTTACTTCCCCAATACCTCAAAGAATGATTAAAAAAGAGAAGTTACAAAACAATGTCCGTTCTTTTTTTAGTCTCAAGAGCAGAAATGCGTGCTTTGGGTGCATTAAATGATATAATTACCATAAATACAAGGACACACCTAAAATCTTCAAGTTGAAAAGTACCAAAAATTAAGCCAGCCCAGCCAGAGCGGTGACAGGAAGCTGACCCCACATATAACCCAATGTGATAAAGCGCAGGGATGTAAAATAGGCACATACCAAATATTAGATATATATCTGGTTACGGTGTTCATATAAAGCTGTTTCGAAAGTTTGAGTGGTTTAAGTTGACAAGTAGCAGTTATTTGACATTCGTTGTTTTCCCTTACACTCTGCGGCCGCAAGTGAGCCTTGCGATGCAAGCGAAAACGATAAAAGGTTCCGTTTATCGTTCTCCCTTACACCCGTAAATTGTTATGGGCCTGGGCGATGGTCAGTTGTGACACATTATCGACAGTGATGACTGTGTACAGGTTACTACAAATAAAAATATGATGTTACATACAAACTTGCTATTAATAAAGTTAAGTGTTTGTTATTTTATCACAACTGTAACTCGGTGAGCGTTCTTCGTTTCCCTTCCTCGCTTGGTTAAATACTAGTCAATGTACAAATCAGATATATATATATATATATATATATGTATACATATTTTCAACAGCTTGATTTAAAACTGTCTCATTCTGAATCAAGGTTTGGTCTCAATGTTTCTTTATTGTATTCTCTTCAGAAGCGAGATTTATTTACTTTTATTTTCGCTAGTAATTGCAAAATTCCCTCTGCACGACCAAAGGGATCAATAAAATCATATGTTACAAAAGTCAATAATATGATCGATCAGATCATTGCAAAGTCAAACTTTCACGTAAGAAATGTAGCAATCTGACAAGATTGTAATGCAAACGCTTTCGTGAGAGGTAATGCAACGCTTTGTACAGCGTCAGTTGTATTTAATAAAGGGTTCAGTTGATGGGAAAACATACCATCAAGTAGAGATCGACAAGGACAGTTTGAATCTGCAAGACATTATAATTACACTCGATCGTAACATCCACCAAAAGAAATTGTAAAGCAAGACTAAGTGTCACCACAATACGCCCACTTTTTAAGTTGGACAAAGAAATTTACTCTCAGAGTGCAGTGTCAATTATTTGGTAATTCCATAAAATTATGTCCACCCCAGTGACACGTGCTAGACAAACTGCGGCACTATAACCATTGTTGGGATGAAAATGACTGGACAGCAAATTAATATGTCAGTCAAGTCAGTGAACATCTGTCGGACACCAATACACAGTGCTCATAAATTTCTCCCTAAATACTTTTAAAACACTCCTATCCCCACCCCTTTCCCCCTGTTCCCATCCGTTTTCCCCTCTCTCCCACCTGCTCTTGTAAATACACACCATCAGCATTCGTGAAGACAAACAGAAACACACAGTAAGTGATACATTCTTATTTATATAAATTGTTATGGGCGTTAGATTGTTAGATTTATATACAATAATGTTCAATCAGTCCAAAAAATAATTCCGCAGTAAATATTTATATAAAGAAAAGCTACAGTTCCAAACAGTTTTTCGCTACATATATGACAAGTTGCCTATGAAAGGTGCTTCTCTTAGCCTTAATGTGTTGTGTTCACTCGAGTGCTGTCTAGATCTAAATCTATGGAGGGTTATTGATAACGACACATAGAACTAACATCTCTGCGTTTGTCGCGGCCGTGACCAATCAATCGTGGCTCGATTTTTTGGTCCCCGAATTTAAAAGTAAAAAAAACGAGAAAAAAAACACGAAACTCTTTACTTTTGAAAGAAAGTTCACTTAGCTTCACTTCGTCTCTTTCTCACTTGTCACCAAGCTGATTTGTTGAATACGTTACTTATACGATTTGTATTGCTGTTCCTCTTTTATTTTTCCCTCTTTGTGGTGTGTTATTTTGTTGGTGGGTAATTTTTTTCTTGTTATTGGTCTGATGTATTGTTTTCCTATTTTACTTTATTTTTTTTTGTTGGAGAAAAGGGTGAGAATAGCCTTGTATTAATATATTATATCTGAAATTTGCGGGAAAGGGTGTGATTTCAGAGTGTCCGGAGAAATAGTCTTTTTTTCTTCTTCTTTTCTTTTTCATCCTCTGTTGTCGTTAAGCGTCGAATAGAGATGCAGTTATCTATGGTAGGCCCAGCTTTAGTTTCTCGAACGTTCGGAGAAATAGTGCCGGCATTTTCGAGTCCGAATATGAAAAAATGTTATCCGGACTTGAGTCCGGAAAAAAGGAAGTGTCTTCGCTCTATAGATCTAACGTTCAGTGCTTCCAATTTTCCGCCACTTTTAAGTTTCCCCCACACCTTATCTGCAGATCCGATGCCCGCCGCCTCATTGATACGCCCCCCCCCCCCCACGTTTCCCACTTTCTTTGTTGTAGAAAAAGGTAAAATTGAAGATTAGGCTAATCATTAGCAGACCACCTGGCACCTGCATTATGAGCTGTGTAAAAAAAAAAAGACAGATTCATTCAAATACACCAGCCTGTGTCATCTCGGTTGTTTACCAAGAAAAAGTTGTGTTGCTGTGTAGAGCCGAGCATAGGCCGTCGTTATTTGGACTCGAGTCCGAACAAAAAAATTTCTTATTCGGACTCGACTCCGAATACGAAAAAATGTTATTCGGACTCGGGTCCTGAAAAAAGGAAGTGTCTTCG